GAAAGAAAGAAAGAAAAGGGAAGGGAAAGGAAAGGAAAAGAAAAGAAAAGAAAAGAGAGAGAGGGAAAGAAAGGAAAGAAAGAAAAGGAAAGGAAAGGAAGGAAGGAAGGAAGGAAAAGAAAGAAAGGAAAGAAAGGAAAAGAAGGAAGGGAAGGAAGGAAGGAAAGAAAGGAAGGAAGCAAGGAAGGGAGGGAGGCCTTAGGAGTCTCGGCAAAGGAGAATCCACAATTTATCTTAACAAATCAGATTTAAGTTTTAAATGTAAGACTAGCTACGATAATTTTTTTCCACAGTGAGTTTGTCCTCCTTCCCTCTTGCTGCACGTGGTGGACGGTCCGATGCTCAATGAACAAGACAGCAAAACCCTCCCTGTCCAAGTAGGGCCAAGGGATGCCGAAGAGACCCCCCACAGAGGCTCAGCCCCACAAGAGCCAAGGTTCCCTCCAGGCAGGAATGGTGGGCCACACATACCGAGCTGGTGCTCCTACATCTTCCGGGTGTTAGAGTCAAAATGTGGTTAACCAACAGACTTTTGGAAAAGGGGAATCACTGGAAAGCATATTATGTTTGCAATAAAAGAAAATATTGCTAATAGTTGTTCATTCAGGAACTGTTAAGTGATTTGTCAACAACATGAGAGAAGGAGAACTTGTTAGGTGATCCCATAAACCTATGGAACCTGTAATAATGATATTTAACCAGTTTTAAACCCTCCTGTCATGGCCCCTGGTCAAGGAGAAAAGCACACTTAGTAACTACTATTTCCTTTTTCTCTCTTTAAACACTTATCATTGAATCCAGCCTTCTCTGATCCTATTTATCTCCAACCAAATTTTCTTTCCTTTTCCAATCAGAAAAGCTTCCTTTTCCAATCACAAAAATTTATTAATTTGTGAAAGCGTCTTGACAGGCCCATGAATCACAGTTTTAGAAAGGCAGTGTTTGATCTATCTCCAAATGTATTCATATTTTCTTTTAAAAAAATTTAATAAGAAAGCAATCCCCAGGAGCAGTGAAATAGATAATTGGAAAGCAAAGATGTTTTTGGCTACAGTTACAGCCATGATTAAATATGTAAGCCTCTGGCAGAATCACGAAATGGGAATTTCTCATCCTAAATGTCACTAATCCGAGTTTCCCAAATTCATTATGGAAGTGAGCACCGCCTCATTTCTTCCTCCTTCTGCAGCCCCTGTCACCTCACTGTCCTCACCACCAGCCGCTGCCCAGCCCCAGGGAAGGCTCTGGCCTGAAGCCTCTCTGTGGGGGGCTTGCAAGTTGCTCCTAGGGGATGAGTGTGCTCCAGCCGGCCCATGACAGAGTGGTCATGTGCAGAGGGCACCAAACACCTGGTGAAAACTGGGCCCTGCAGCACTGGCTCGATGGCCAATGTGCGCACAGCTCTGACTTGAAGCCTATGTGGCCATGAGTAGGAAGCCTTGGGTTTGTTGGGGGATTGGGGGAGGGGGGAGTATGGATTTTTAAAATAAAATTTCAGTTTCTCCCTATGCAATGTGAGTTGCTGAAGACATGGATTAATTTTCTGATACTCTGGCTTCTCAGACTGGGAAGTAAGGACTGGGATGTAGCTCAGTAATACAGCACTTGCCCAGCATGCACCAGGCTACAGATTCAAACACTGGCACAACAACAACCACAACAATGCAGGGAGCTGTCATCTAGGATAAGAATGGACGGGACTTCATTCATTCGAATTTTTATCGCAAGTGGGCTGTGGCTGGACCTTGACACTGTTCTTCTTAGAGCATCTTCTTATGGAATTGATATTTCAAGCCCTGACATCTATTTTCTCGCAAAGCAAATAGACATGACTTACAAATCATTTGGCTGTTCATTAAAGCTGACCTTGAAAAAGCTATGTCAGCCACTATAATCACTTGATGGGCCTAAGTGACTGAATAGCAATGCTTTTAACATGTTCTCCGAGTCAGGCTGCATGCATGGTACCCATTTCCCCACCCTTCCCATATGCAGACAACTCACTCACCTGGGAGACCTGTTGCTCCTGGCAAACCTTTGGGACCTCTTCCTGGGGGGCCGCGCTCCCCCTTTTCTCCCATCTCACCTGCATTTCATCAAAGAAATGTTATTTTTCTATATGTCCATAAGATAAACCTCTTTATTCCTAAACATTAAGCAAAGACAAAATTCAGAAACCAAAAGTCATGGAATTACCCCAAGCTAGATTATAGAAAATATGTAACAAGGGAAAAATCAGGTTCATCATATAAGCAGATTAAACGGGTGTAAATCAGATGATCATAGCTACAGTTACTTCATAAAAGATTATATTCTAGCTATTTCATAAAACAGTATAGACACTTTATTATGGGTACTATGTTACAAATACTAATGATATACCATAAAATAGAAAACATGCTTAATAAAGCAGTCAGTAAATAAAAATCAATGACTACACTCTTAACATGATAAAATACATGACTCTCAACCCAACAGCTAACATAATGCTTAAAAGAAAACAAAAAGCAGCTCCACAACAGTCAACTGCATCATTTGGAGGGAGGAGTTAAAAGCATGCCTATTTCCAGGTGACAAGAGCATTTGCTTTAAAACTCTGGAAAATCAACTCAATTGCAAAGGGAAAAAGAATTCAGTAAACTAGCAGGGCACAAAATTAATATATAAAAGTAGATAACTATATAATACCAACAACATCCAGTTATAAGCCACAGTGGAGGAGGATACCAATGGGAATTAAACTGCTAAATAAGGAAGAATAAGCTTAATAGGAAATACGTAAGGGCACCATGAAAAGGTGCACATTTCTAAAAGATACAAAAAGACTTGGAAAATGTTCTGTAATGAAATGGCATCATCATAAAATTGGTCAGTTTTCCCTAGGCTGAATTTTCATGATGATCTAAATAAAAACAAACACACATTTTTAACCAGAGAAGGTAATTCTGGACTTTGTACGGCAAAACACAAAAGCCACAATAATTGCAAAGACCTACCAAAGAACAGCAACATGCAGGTAATTAATCCTGCCAGATATTAAACAGTTAAATGGTGTGGCACTGCTCCCTGGGTAGACCAGGGCAGGAAGCCTGAACATGGCCCTAATATATGGGGAAATTCGGTTTCTTAATAAAGGTGAGGTCTTAAAATGGGAAATTCAATTCAATAAATGGTGATGAGAAAGTAGACAATCAGCTGGAAAAAACATTAGACGAAGACCTCCATACCTCATAACACATTCCACGATGGATTACAAATAAAGCCAATATTTAGAACCCACAAGAAAACAAAGAATAATTTTAGAGCTTCAGGTTTGAGTTGGCCTTTCTATTATGATTCAAAATATAGAGTTCCTAAAATCAATATGAAAAGGCCAACAAAACAATAAAAAATGAGCAAATTACACAAGGCTAAAATCAAAATGTCTCTTAAATATATGAAAGATCCCTGAATTCACTTTCAAATCACAATAGATGCAACTTGGCCAAAAAACAAAGATGTCATTTTAACCTAAAAGACCAGCAAAAGTTCCAAAACTACGTGAGACATATATTTAGCAAGGGTGTAGAAAAACAGAGCAGCACACGCTGCCGCTGAAAGTGTAAAGCAGCAGTCTCCTTGGAGGATGATTTGACAGCAGCTATCAAAATTACAAATGGAAGTCCTATTGTGCTCAGCGATTCTACTTCTAGAAATTTATCATAGCAACAGATATGGGGACAGAATTAGTGGCAGAGAGTATGCTGGAATTCTCTACAAAAATGAAACATATATTGTTTTCAAGACAGCTTTGTGTAATATCAGAAGTTGGAGCCCAGGCCGGACAACTTAGCAAGACCGTGTGTCAAAATAAAAAATATAAAAGGCTAGGGAATGTAGCTCAGTGCAAAGGTCCTAGGTTCAATCCCCAGTACTGTAAAAGAAAAAAGAAAAAAAAAATTAAACATTATGGTACTTCCATAGAATGGAACGCTATACAGCTGTGAAGAGAAGCTAGGCAGCTCTTTGGAATGATCCCCAGGATATATTATTAAATGAAGAAAACAAGGACCAGATCATTTGCTAAAGTAAAATATTATTTTATTTATAAAAGGATGGAGAGAAAAGTATATATTCACGCATCCTTATATATCATTGCTTGTAAGGATTTGAAGGAAAACTAACAGTAATTACATGGCAGAAAGGATAAAGGGAATTACAGATAGGAGACAGCAGTGGGAGGAAAACTCTTCACAAATAGCTTTTATACATTTGTACATTTTTTAACAATGTAAATTTAGAATTACCAAAGATAAATTAATGAATTTTAAAAATGTAAAGTGTGCTGTCAACATGTCCTCTGGTACTGACTCATTATTTCTAAAGAATATGCTTTGGATTGCAACCAACCATGTGTACTTCAAGATATTATAAGACAATTGACTGAGTTTGGGAATCCAGCAGCCACAGAACAAAGTTGTATTAATAACCCTGACTCTTGCAGAGACCAAATCCAGAAACCTGGCCTCATTAAAAAAAAAAAGTCCCAATACTTTATTTGACTGATCCTAAATGACAAGGTACTGTACCTCGTAGAAGGCATTCTTCTACTATTGTTAGCATCCTACTGTATTATTCTTCTACACTATGAAAAAGACACAGTGACACCTTGCAACAAATTCTGCACAGAATCTTTTTTCCCAAACATCTAGTATCAGTCCAGTCTTCTTCAATCTTGAGTCAAATTTGTTATAATTTAAAACACAAAGTCAGGTGCACAACAAAAACAGGAAGAATATCAGTACAATCACCTGTACATTAGCCAAATACTGAAAAACTAATTATGAAGTAAATGTTTAAAGTTAACAGTTTATTTTGCTGTGAGTGTGCCTATGTGAATGTTTTTATGATGAATCAACTACATTTTCACAACAATTTAACCTTACATAAATACTGTGTGGATACAGAGCTGCAGTTGTACTCATATTCACATACACTAGTTTTTATTTTTCACTCATCATCAATATGGCCTTACTCTATTAGAAGATATGACAACTAATGTCATAAAAACTAACAGCTTAAGCCTTCTTGTTAGTTTAGCAATTTAAATATCATCACTGTAATTCTGGAGACTGACAATGAAAAGAGAATCTCCAAATGTGCTACATTTTCTGAAGCTATGGGGTAAAGATTATAAATTAAATGAAGCTTTCATACTGAGAGTGAAAGTTAAACTTAATTACACATTGTAGCATGAAGTTATAACAATTTTAAAGTGTTGCCCTATTTCACTGAAGAGTTTAAACAGTAGTGGGAATACTTCTTCCCTAAATGTCTTGTAGAATTCAGCAGTGAAGCCATCAGGACCCAGGCTTTTCTTTGTTGGGAAGTTTTTAATTACATTTTCAATTGATTGATATTGGGTTGTTCAGAATTTTTAGGTCTTCTTCGTTCAACTTTGGTAATTCATATGTATCTATGTATCTAGGAAACTGTCCATTTCTTCTGTTTTCTATCTTGTCGGCATATAGGTTCTCGAAGTAGGTATTGATGATCCTCTGGATTTCTTCTGGGTCTGCTGTAATTTCATCCTTTTCATTCCTAATTGCATGGATGTGGGCCTTTTCTTTCCTTTTTTTTATAAAGTTGGCTAAGGGTTTGTCAATTTTGTTTATTCTTCAAAGAACCAACTCTTTGCTTCATTGATTTTTTTGTATCATTCTCTTAGTCTCCATTGCATTGACTGCTGCTCTGATCTTTATAATTTTCTCCTTTGTATGAGCTTTGGGTTTGAGATTCCACCTCACCCCAGAAAAAAAGGCTGCTATCAAGAAATCAACCAATAAGAAATGCTGGTGGGGTTGTGGGGGAAAAGGAACCCTTCTCCACTGTTGGTGGAGTGCAGACTGGTGCATCCATTGTGGAAATCAGTATGGAAATACCTCAAAAAACTAGGATTAAAGGTCCCATTTGACCCAGCTATTCCCCATGCCGGGTATCTTCCCAAAAGAATTAAAAGAATCATAACATAGCAATATATGTGCACCCATGTTCATAGTGCCACAGTTTGTAATAGCTTGTAAAGCTGGAAACACCCCAATTGTCCATCAACTGGAGACTGGATAAAGATGTGGTTTTTTTATAAAATGAAAAAGCCACTACTGCGCCATAAAGAATAAGAAACTAGAGTCATTTATAGCTAAATGGATCCACATACTCTTAAGTGAAATAAGTAGGACATACATGTGTAAATACCGAATAGTTTCTCTGGTGTGAGAAACTGAAAGTGTAACTAAGGATCAAAATGTACAATAGACAATGTGAAATAAGAAGCAAAGGTCCAAAGGGGAAGGGGAAATGGGAAGAGTAGGGGAAAGGAAAGAAGGGAATGGAATTAACATGAGAAAAGGAAAAAATGGAAACAAAGTCTTTGTAAATAGGGAGGGGTGCAGGGGGTGAAGGGAAGGCAGGGGAATGGGGAAAAAATAAGAACCAAGATAGATTATGTAAAGGTACAAATTCCCAATAATGAATGCCAGCATATTGTATAGCTAAAATGTACCAATAAACTTAATGAATGAAAAAAGAAGAAGAATGCAGTCATGTACTCTGCAACAAAATGGAAGGAACTGGAAAAAAATTTTGCCCTAGCAAGACCCCTGTCTTGATTGGCTCTTTTGGCTCTCCATCATAGAAAAACAAAGTCTAGATGGCCTCTAAGTCAGAGCACACCATAGATAGCTGCTTCCCAGCCAACCAGCACACAGCTGACTCTATCTCCAGACTCATCTACTTCTTCAAATCCTGACTGAGTTTCTCTCTGAGGTGCCTCAAAACTGGCTCAGAGAGCTAAAGGTCCACCTTTGTCAGCCCACAAGCGAAGTCCAAAAATGCACATAAAGACAGCCAGGTGTGGTGGTACACGACTCTCAACATTTGGGAGGCTGAGGCAGGAGGATGGCAAATTCAAGTCTAGCCTGAGCTACATAGTAAGAGCTGTCCCAAATCCCCCAAGAATTTTTAAAAAACAGAGTTTTTCTTAAAAAAAGCTTTATCTCAGGTATAAAGGAAAATACGCTTTGCGTAGCAAAACAGCTCATTATGAACAGTGAAAATTCTCATTGCTCCACAGTTGCTATTTATTTCATTTATTGGCAAGCTGTAATTGATGCTATCTCCCTGTGAGCAGATTAATACCGAAAAAGGTGTTAGTCACAGTTGTGACATGTGTGTTTTCTCAAACCTTCATTTACATATTGGCACATCTCTTTGACTCACACTAAAATATCTAAAAATATACATCCTTATCTAAGGGACTTAAAATTCATCCAAACTGTGAATGTTTAAAAATAATATTTATGGCATGAAAGACTAGTGCAATATGAAGCAAAGTGAACATAAGGCCAGGCTGCAGTCTCTCACGTGCTGCTTGTGTACATATAAAAGGTGGTAGATGTGGGTGGGCCTTAATGCTACATGCCTGTGTAAGAGTACAGAAAACAGGCCAGTGAAAAACAAAGGAGCATCACACATAGGATCTAAAGTTTGAGTATAATTTAAGGCATTTTTTATAATAAGCTCTTATTGACATGCCCCACTGTGTTTTTCAACGTACTAGAGGAACTGGTGACTGACATAGCCTGAACTGTTAAAAGCATTAATAATAAAACTAGCTTATTTATGTAACAATTTCTCTGAAGAAAGACTCAAAAGTGACTACACAGTAGAACAAAATGCGTAATATCCCTTCCTTACTAAATATAAGGAAAAAATAATGCAGTACTACTAAAATAAATCTGTAATTGGTTGAAAATTTAAGTTCCAAAATGGTGGAGTATCTTTTTTCCGGTGGAAAATTTGAGCAGCAAAACTTTGCATGGTAGAAAACTGCATGTCTCCTAATACATATTACTGTTCATGTATGTGGTGGGATAAGAAAGGTTAAGTCCAGTTGCTTAGAATTGTGTATTTCTAAATGTGTTAACAGCATTGAATGATTAATCTGATGAGCTTTCCCTGCCTCCACCTCAAATTTCAGAAATAAAAGTAAATGAACCTGAGGATCAGTGGAATAGATTAAAAGATGGAAAAACAACTTCAGACATACTCAGCCACCTCATCTTTGACAAAGGAGCCAACCACCCTCACTGGAGCAAAGATAGCCTATTTAATAAATGGTGTTGGAAAAACTGGATTTTAACCTGCCAAAGACTAAAACTAGACCCATATCTATCACCATGCACTATACTGAGATCTAAGTGGATTAAAGATCTAAATATTAAGTCAGAAACACTAAACTTGCTGTAAGATAAGTTAGGTAGAACTCTTGAAGATATTGGCATAGGAAAAGACTTTATGAATCAAACCTCAGTAGCATAGGAACTAGCAGAAAGAATCAACAACTAGGATTTCATCTTATTGAAAAGCTTTTGCACTGCAAGAGAAACCACCAACAGAGCTAAGAGACAACTACAATGTGGGAAAAAATTTTTAGCAGGTGTAACTCAGACAAAGGACTACTACCTAGAATATATAAAGAACTGAAAAAAATCAGACCTCCCAAATTCAAAGACCCAATTCAAAAGTGGGCATCTGAAATGAACAGACATTTCTCAGACAAAGAAGTAAAAGCAGCAAATAAACATATGAAAAAATGTTCAACATCACTGCTCATTCGAGAGATACAGATGAAAACAACACTGAGATTCCACCTCACCCCAGAAAGAATGGCTGCTATCAAGAAATCAACCAATAACAAATGCTGGCAGGGGTGTGGAGAGAAAGGAACCCTTCTCCATTGTTGGTGGGAATGCAGACTGGTGCAACCACTATGGAAATCAGTGTGGAGATACCTCAAAGAACTAGGACTACAGGTCCCATTTGACCCAGCTATTCCCCTGCTGGGTATTTTCCCAAAAGAATTAAAAGAATCAAACCACAGTGATATATGTGCACCTGTTTACAGTGGCACAGTTTGTAATAGCTAAAGCTTGGAAACAGCCCAAGTGCTCATCAACTGGAAACTGGATAAAGAAGATGTGGTTTTTTAATAAAATGGAGTACTACTCAGCCATAAAGAATGAGAAACTAGAGTCATTTATAGCTAAATGGATGCATATTGAGGCCAACTCTTAAGTGAAATAAATAAGACACACATATGTAAATACCAAATAGTTTCTCTAGTGTGAGAAACTGAGAGTGTAAATAAGGACTAAAAGGATTAATAACTAATAATTGATACTTTGAAATAGGAAAAGGTCCAAAGAGGTAGGGGTCATGGGAGGGGAAGGGGAAAGGAAAGAATGGAAAGGAAAAATTATGAGAAAAGAAAAAAAATGGAAACGAAGTATGTAAATAGGGAAGGGTTTAGGGGTGAAGGGCGCACAGGCAATGGGGGAAAAATGAGAACCAAAATACATCATGTACAGGTACAAGCACCCAAAGATAAATATAAATGTATTGCATACATAACATGTACCAATAAAAGAATTTAAGAAAAAAAAAAAGTAAATGAAGGTACTTCTGTGAAGGAATTCCATGACAAAAAAGAGATGAGAAGCTGGGGAACAAAAAGTCATTTAGAGAAAAAGACTAAGCCAACACACTATGACGCGAACACTGGAAGAAAACTGAGGGAGAAATACGTTATTATGCAGCTGTGCTTGGCAAATGAGCTTAAGGCTGGAGACATTTTCCAGGTTCCAAAAATACAAACATACTTTTCTTACTTTCAAATGAGGTGCTTCTGTTCAGCAGGGCAAAGCAGTTCAACCTAGTCGCGATTCACTGGGGCTAAGAGCTTCCAGAAAGCTTCCCAGACAATTCGCCTTTGTTCTCAGTGGTTCTCAATCCTGGCTGCACTCTACAGTCACCTGGGGAATGCTTTAAAATCCCAATGCCCAGACCAATTAAATCAGAGTCTCTGAAAATAGGCCCCAGACATGGTAGTTTTTCAAGCTCCTCTGGTGACTCCAGTGTGCGGTCAAGGCTGAGGGAGACAGCTTTGGACAGGCTCCTCCAGCAGAGCAAGTGACGAGGACGATTTCATTTGTTAAAGGACAGTTTTGTTACTAGCTCAAAGTTAAACTCTGCTCCAAACACAGAGACTTCTTTTAGCTGAGAAAACCAGGCTGTGATTTCTGTAGCCCCTACAAGGAGTTCGCTTTCAGTAGGAAAATGGGGATTGCTCCAGACCAGGATTTAACTGCATGAGGATAACCTGCGGGCCTGTTGAACCAGCCTGCTAGGCCTCACCCTCAGGGCTTCTGAGTGAGCCAGGCTGGCATGGGGCGGAGAATCTGTGACCCTAACAAGTCCTTGGTGACACTAATGCTCCTGAGACCTCTCAAAACCTTTGCTCTAAAGAGATGCTGCTACCTGTGGGCTATGGGTCCAATGAATCAACTAGAATTTCTTAGGACTGGTCTGCAGGAGGATGGGAACTACCCACAGGAATCCCCTAAAACACAAACTCCTAACTCGTAGCTAAAGGCCGGACAACGATGAATAGGTATGTAATTCTTTCAGAGAAAATGTCCAGTTGTCTTTCATAGGAACTATACTCTCAGCTGTCTCTGTGATTTGTCCAGCCTCTGAAAGCTTTGAAATTGTGCCAGCCTTACAAGAGCCCCTAATTAGAGCTCATTTTTTAACATGCAGCTCTGCACCTGCCAAAAAAAGTAATTAAATAAATTGTTCCAGCTGAGGATGGAGTTAGCCAAATGCATCAGCAATTCATTTATAGATCCAAAAAGGCAGGCTGCCTGCCCTCTGACCATTCACAACATAATATTTATCCCTAATTGGAGCACCACTGCATTAAAAAAAAAAAGTCCCTTTCTTGTTTTTGATGCCATGTCTTTCTGAAGCTCCCCCAGAGAGCTGTCAGGAACTCATTATGGGCTAGAAATTCACTTTATTTAATCCTCTGTAAATTATCCAAGGAGCATATACCCCCAAGCTGACATACTCACCTCGACTAGCAAATGCCAGCAGAGGCAACTAGTTCTTCTGCTAGTCTTGCAGGATCCCTTACACACTCACAAACCTGTTTTTCTGCAAAATACTGAGTGCAAGGAGATAGCTTGCTTTAAATAAAAGTAGAAAACCAAACTCATATTTGAAGAACAAAGTTAGACACTGCAATGCAAGGCTGAAAAAAAATCCATCAAAAGTACATATCTAATGCCACCTCTTTAAAGGAGCCGGCTCCAGTTCATAATGTAGATTTTCTTAGGTCCTGTGAACAAAGTTGGTTAGTTTAAGTAAAATACAAACATTCACAGGATGGCTGCCATTTTAGAAAAGCTCTACAGTGACTTTAGGGTCTCCGAAACAATGATCTCCCATAAGGTTTATTTTGAACTGTGAATGAGGCCAAGTATCACTGAGAAAGATTAGTATTAAAAGCTTGGGGAGTTTAATTCTAGTATTTTTGTCTGATGTTGTGGGACAAGCAGAATCAACAGAGTTCTCTAAGAGTTGCAAGTCCTTTCCATGTATCTTTTTATCTAATAGGGTATTCAGAGATCAGTAAAATGTGAATTTCTTGAGCTTGGATGTGGATTATGCATCTAAAAAAGGCAGAGTGTGGTTTTGTTTCCACCTGGACAGAACAGCTTACCTTTAGGTCCCCTCAAACCAAGAGCACCTGGGGGACCCTTAATCCCTGGGAGGCCGCGAATTCCCATCTGACCAGGGAAACCATTCTCTCCAGGAGGTCCGGGGGCCCCAGGAGGACCAGGCCTGCCAGGGAGACCAGAGGCGCCTGAGTCTGGACGCTTGAGACTAGCAGCCATCTCAGCAAAATGCTCTGAAAGATAACAGACACAACAATGCAGAGCAGTCAGAACCCTGAGAGGAGCATGAACGAAGAGAGAGGTATGCCAAATGGCTTCCTTTATTACTGTATCACCAGAGCTTCCACACTGGGGTAAGAGATGGAGAAAGGCAGATACTTTTCCATGGGCTTTCTGCCAGCAAGCTTCCCTGGTGCTGCTTCATTCGCCTTTCCCTGGGTTTATCTGGTCATGCTACTTTGAGACAGAGTAAGGGGAGAAGAGCTTTAAACAGCAAGTCTCTGGGATGAGTGGTGCTGGAAGGTACAGTTGTCACCTGAATCCTAGCTGGGTATCTGCAGACCCAGGATAGGAAGAAAGATGAGTTTCTTGAAGGGATGGGAGTGCTGTTCAGAGGCTTTGCAAGAGCCAAGGGCATCATGCAGAATCAGCATTCAGACCACATTTGAGATCCAGTCTCAAAGCTAAAAGTCTTCTCCTCTTTACAATATAATATAACCCGAAATACCATGAAGATTCATGGTTTCTTAGAAACCCCTACCTCATGGTTTTCTCATGCTTGGAATAGACAACAATCATTAAAAATAACCTGTTTCTTGAGAATGGTCACAGTCTGTCTTAAAAATTAATAACTGGGCTTTTCCTGGAACCATTAAATAGATTCAGAATCACCCACTAAAACCATGGAAAACAAAAAATCTCCCAATTAAAATACTCTAAGCAAAATATTTTAGTATAATATTGTTTAAAACTCTAGAATATGAAGGAGAATAATGAACTGGAAATAATCTTCCAGCCAAAATTTTAAAAATATTTAAATGTGAATTTGCCTATTTAAGCATAAAGTCATAATTTTCTAGATATATAAAGTTTAAAGCTAAAATAGATTTTCAAGATAAAATGTCTGTAATGAAGATACCAATAATATTGATTTTCAAATATAGAAATCCTCATTTCATTCCTGCTTGAGTCTAGAAAGCTCTACATGTATTTTAAACAAACTAGACTATACAGAGAACATAGAAATGGAGAATATTTCTTCAGGACAGAGTTAGCTCCAACAGAATAAGATAATTTCCTATTAGAAGGCTCCAAATGTTACAGGATCTCCTCAGTTACTTTTGTGCCTCTTCATTTTCTGTGTATTTTCAGAACTAGACCAATTCTGAAACAAATAATAATTGTCATCACTACAGCAAAATTTAGATAAAAATTAACACATGTAAAAATATATTACCATTTTAGAAAATATTAGTCATTGCTATCTCCATATGTTGTACATGAGTAGAAGTAATGTCCTTCTGCTTCTCATGGGCATGGAATCTGTCATTTAGTTTTCACAGAGAGAAATCTTAGGGTGATGCTAGATACACACCAGGAGGTAGAATTTCCAAGGAAAAGAGTGTGAGTGTGTGTGTGTGTGTGTGTCTGCGTTTGCACTTTCTTGTACATTATCCCCTGCCTCAGAGGGAAAAAAAGGAAGGAAGGGAGTGAGGGAAAAAGAAAGCAGGCTAACACAGCAAGGTAATATTTTACTTTTAGACTATAAACTATTGTGGATGGAAATAATTGGATAAAACAGAATTGACATTAACATTATTCAAAATCTCCCACTTTTAAAGCATACAAAAAGCCACTATGATATACCCTTGCATGTCTACAAAAATAAAATTGTAAGAACCAAGAGTTGATGGTGGAAAAGTTAAATCATTGTGATTTACTTACCTTGCATGACCCTCATGCAAACCTGCTTAATGTGCTGATCTGTCGGCGCTCTGCCCTGGGACAGGAAAGAAACAGGCAGATTATGCAGGGAGACACACAGAGGACACTGTTAAACTGTAAACTCACAGGCTCTTTATAAGAGCTGGAGCCATGGCCAGTGAGCCCCACTACAAGGAAACCCACTCACCGGAGAGCCCTGGGCCCCAGGCAGCCCGGTGGCACCCTGCTCGCCCTGCACACCCCGGGGTCCAGGCGGTCCTCTTGGTCCTTCCACTCCAGGAAGCCCCCGAATTCCTTCAGGGCCTCTCAAGCCAGGCTCCCCAGGGTTACCCACCTGGAACAAAATCGTACACTGTGAAACCAGGGTTAGACACAAGCAATGTGCCTGTTACTATTAACACAAGCACTTGCATGAAATTTTGTGGGAAACATAAAATAAAATAAAGATATTTCCAAGAAAATAAGCTATTTAGCCTCTATAACATTTGAATGGTGAAGCTGAAGGCAGTAGGGGTATCCAAGAATTATAAAATACTAACATAAATTAAATGAATGCACTTAAAGTGACAATTAAAATGCTGCATTTAAAACACTGGGTCAAAAAGGGCAAGTTCATAGTTTACCAAAGTCATAAGCCTAGTTTTCTTAGGTCACTGGAAAGAAAGTTTTGTGTTATTATCTGTTTCTTCTTTGTAAGAGAAGCTTCTTTGTCAATGTCTTGTACTCAGAGTAACTACTTTGAAGATAATGATCCAGAGTATTCACTATTGTTATTCTTTTATTATTCTGTTACAAAATTTTATTTTTTCATAAAATAAAGTATTAAGGAAGTTAAGTTTCTAAACACTAAAAATAAGTTAAAAATAAACTTCTCTCAATATACAAGCATATACAAGTTAGGTTTTTTTCTGAAAGCAGACTATTAAAAGTATTTAAAAGGATCCTCATCTGCATAATACTCTAAAAAGAGTCTAAATGAACTCCATTTGGGGGAAACTAAAATTCATTAAATTCCTCCGGTGGAATCTGTGGTAGAGGCGCTACAGTGCACTGTTGTTCAGAGTAAGTATGAGAAGATAAAAGGACAGGAGGCAGCGAGGGAATGCTAGTATTCAAGACATGAATGTTCATAAAGCTACTCAATGCTGCGTGGCTTCCATCTGCAGCATCTATCTAGGAAGAGCTACTCTTCAAACATTCAGATGTTTCAAACCCAAGGAAGAAAGGGATGAGGCCACGCTTTCACCATGCACATCTAAATGAAGCTCAGCAAATGAGCTTTTCTCAATCTCTCTTCACGCAAAAGAATTGGTATTCATCAAAGTCAACTTACTAAAATTGCTTCTGTAAGGAAATTATGGCCCAAAAGACTTCCTGAAAGACAGTGTCAACAAGGAGAGCAGAAGATATACCACGGAAGGCTGCACAACTGTCAGGTGGCCAGAGCGAAAAACTGTAACAACTTCTAAAACAACTCAAAGAGAAGCCAAAATGAACTCAGAAAGGTGCTAAAGAACTGTCAGAAACTAAAGGAGACCAAATCAGAGTGTACCCTCTTGCTGGCAATAGCTGAAATATCATTAGAATAAGGGACAGGGAATTTTTGATGAATACATCAAGGACTGATGTGGCCAGGAAGTCATAAAGGCCCTTGGGTCTTTAGGAAGAAATTCCTCAATTAAGGAGCAGTGGAATGAAGTAAAAGTCAGGCCGCAGACATCTCTACTGAACAAATTTGTGCTGGAATCAGTAAGGATAGAGTCTTTGTAGTAATAACTATTTCCTTTGTACAGTACAGTTCAGCTTCATCAGTATCACCTGTGCAGGGTATGTAAGGCAGAGCAGGGGGAAAGTGATGAATTAAAGGCTAGTTCCTAATATTATATCCAAATTAGAGTACAATTAACTTATGACAATCATGGCATTGTGATCATTTTTTTCTTTCATAACTTAAATAGTACTGCATATTTCTAGATAGTGAAATAGGATTTCTATTACCATGGGTTTACTCTTTTGTTCAGTCCTAATCCTTTCCTTTCAGAGATTCTAAGGCATAAAATGCCATTTGAAATTTAGTGTTTGGAGGCAGGTGAATTAATATGATGTGATGATATCTGTTTTAGTAGAGCACCTAGAGCCCAAACTCCAGGCATTGTACTAGTCTGGACAGGTCCTCCTGGAGAAAGGAAGGCTGAGCATGCATCCAAATCCTCAAGTAGGATGTAGCTATTCCAAGGGGAGAGGAAGTGTGTTACAGACTAGGAGAACAGTAAAAGGGTTGAGCAGCATGGCACATAAAAGAAGTACAAATAAGGAAGCTCCAGATACCCAGGAGAGAGGATGGGTGAAGCAAAGAACTCTTCATCTGAAGCTCTGTACACCTTGCTAAGAATCCAATTTTATTCTGTAAAATGTTATTCTTAAAGGGTTTTGAGTGAAGGAAGATTATTACATAGTGAGTTTATCTTTTTATTTAGATTACATGGGCTGCTATGAGGCTAATTTGTTGGATGGAGACAAAGGAGTGTGGAATCTTCTAGAAATGAGAAAGACTTGGAAATTAACTAGAAGCTGGCGGTAGTGGCATTGAGATTGAGATCTGGCTTCAGCTTTCTCCTATTTTCTTAAATTTTTAATTATATTAGATTAACATTCCTTACAAATTGGCAAATCACTTCAGGTTTCCTATGAAATGGATCTGTAATTCTGAATACATCTCATTAGTAAGGACATCAACTGAATTTCTATGCAATGACAAAATTGAGCAAAATTATATTTTCTAATTCTAATAATTCTCTACTATATGTTCTTATGCATTATGTCACTATCTTCCTCAATTAGAACATGCAGGATATTAAGAAAATTACTGAAATATTTTGCAATAATATAACTGCCAATGAAATTCAGTTATATCATTCTCACAAGTCAGTTTTTTAAAAATGAGTCATTTGGGGAGGAAATTAGAGTACTATCATGTAATATTCATTGAACCATTTACAATACAAAAAAACTCCCTTCAGTTTGCTTAGTTCAAAAGGTAGATCCATTTATTCAATTGTGATTTTTTTCTATTAGATTAATCCATTGTCTAAATAATAAATTTAGAAATTTATTTCCCTAAAGGTAAGTCCTTTAAGGATTGAATTTTATAGAATTATTTCATAAAGCAAAGCATTACATTTTCTACACCTTTATTGATATTTTCAATTTTTTATACCATTACTACCCATTATACTTACAGATCCCTTTGGGCCAGGTAATCCTATATCTCCCTATATCAATAAAACAATATTATATTAGAACAATATATTCACACTTGATAGTTTCCTAAAAACATTTAAAGACTACTATGCTGTTAAAATATAGAATACCATGAACAGATTAACCTTGGCACTATAGAAAAACATTAGGCTCAAATTTGGATTTTAGTCCCCATTCTGTAACTTCATTCTGTGACCTTATGTGAGCTAGGTGACCTCCCAGCTTTTGGCTATATGAACTGGTCAATACTAAGGTTGAATCCGAGTTCTTCAAGTTTTTATCCAGATCTAAAATGCTAGACAGAATTAGAATGTGCAAGTCCAAAGATAATAAAATAGAATTCTGTTTTGAGACCCAAAGACATTGAAACTTCTCTTAAAAATTCACTTTGTAATTCAAACAATATTTTAAAATTTATCCCCAAAAGTCTATCGAACAAAATTTGCATGCTTTTAGGCTTAAAAAAAAAAACCTTAAAATCTCCCACCATTAATTCTAGGTTGAGTTCAGCTCAATATAAGCACATCAGCTAATCTCCACTATAAAACAGAATGATTTAAAACATTCTCTTAGTCCATAAGGAACAACTTCAACAGAAAATCTGGGAAGTTTTGTCCAATTCAGTTATTACATTTATATTTACTCTAAATCCTGAAAATCTGGGAAAAAAAAATGACCAGAATTTTTCCCGCATAAAGCCCTCTAAAGCTATTTCCTGGGAAATCTAATACCACAGGCTCAAAGAACTAAAACATAAGTTTCCATGTTAGGTCATATTGGTTTGTGTCAAAACCATAGTGATGAACCAGCAGACCAAGAAGTTCTAGCAGTAAAGATAACTTGTTCTCATTCTTACTGCTTTCCAGGAGATTTAGCAGTATGACTCTTGAGATGGAGGTCACTTCTTGGGGGGGTTTCACAGGAGACAGAAAGTCCTTGGTCATATTTGTGAACCACAGCTTGCTAACTACAATAAAACTTCAATTTTGCTTTGATGGTAGGCACTACTCACAGAATTTCTGTTCTCCTACAAGAATCACCTTGAATGTCTAGGTGGAAGGCTACAAGAAGATTCACCATCTATACAGGAATTCTCTAAAAATTTAAAGTTTGGCCAAGCAATTGTGGGATAATTCTTCTCTGCTTTACTTAATCTTGGAAGTCCTTTGTCAGGTTAGAGAAGAAACATCTCAGCCCTTAAAGAAGGTGGTGAAGATAACAGTGCCATGAAAAAAGAAAATGCAGATATAGCTATATTTCTAATACAGTTTGAAATTGATAAAGTTCCATCATTAATCAGATAAAAGTCTTACAAGATCACCCCTGTCTCCTGCTTCACCTTCTTCACCAGAGGCACCCTAAAAAGCAGGATGAAAGGCCACATTTTTAATTTCTTAGTCCTGTGGGTCAAGTTTAACCAGTCAACATTGATAAGCATTCATCAGTGCCCACAACACTCCCAGTACCATGCAGCAAAACAAAATGTTCTCAAGGACTTTGCAATCTGGCTGGCTAGTTCAGCCAAAAACACAGCCTACACAGAGACCAGAAGGTGAGGCTGGGTTTTAGCTATTAAGTGCATTTAACTCAGTAAAATTAATGACTATATCCACCAATTTTGTAGTTAGGTAACCACCGAAAGAGGACTCCTACAGTAGAAAAAGGAACCCAGGGAAAAGGCTGAGTCTAATTCATATGCACAGGTTATTTGCTGAGGTCTTGATCAACAAAAAGTTAAAACACTATGATATGGTTGTGGAAAACTCCATCAGACATGAGGAAACCAGTGTGGTGAACCAGAGAGACAAAGGAGGGACAGTGTGTAGCCAGGAGGCAAAGCTATCATTGCCTCTAGCTTATTAACACCGGAGATAAGGACACAAACCAAACCAAAGTCTAGGTTTCACTCACTATAAAGAACACTGAGTGACACTGAGAGCCTCCTGTGTTTTAATGGCACCCATAAACCAGCCAGCACCCTACTTGTGAAGTGGTACATAATAAACACTGCATTTCACACTAACCAATTAACATAACTTACCTGTTCACCCTTTGGACCCGGTTCACCAAATACACCCTGTAATGAATGAAGTATGATACTTTTTCAGTATTTTGAGCTATTTGTATCCTTTCAAATGAGCCAATTCCCATTATTGAGCTGATGGATGAGCAGAAGTATGGATAGTGTGATAGGAGATAACATCCCCACTTCTCATAAGAATTCCTAACAAGATTCCTAACAAGAATCAGGAAGATCTAGAAAAATTGACAGTTGTCCCAATAATCTCTTGTAATCTGGGCATTCCCTCATCACAACCACATCAAATTTCACTAAGAAGAATAAAAATTTAAAACCAAATAGCATGATTGCAACTGAAATTTTTACTTTTCTCATCCTTTACTTCGTCCCTTCTGATCAATTATTACATCTTTTGCTTCTTAATGTCAACTCTCTAATTTAACATACCTTTCACAAAAGCTGTCTATAATAAAGTCTAGAAAACTTGCTCATTGGGCCAAAAGTAAGCCTGATTTCTCAACAAACACCCTTCCAGATAAAAATTTCCTGGAGCTCTGGGTATCTTACCCTGTCACCTTTCATTCCAGGAAGTCCCGGGGCTCCAGGCAGGCCAGGGAGGCCGGGGCTACCATGAGGTCCCTGGGAAACAGACAAAAGTCTCTGGAGTCACGCTCTGCAATACTGAAAGCTCACAAGCAGACTGGGCCTCGGTGGCCTTGGTATTGACTCACAGCTAGGATAAATGTGCTGTGGTCAGTTTAGCTCAGCTCCCCCAGGGGGTCCGCATCAAGTCCCCTGCAGAAGCCTGACATTCCCCCCACACTCAGGTTTAGCTTCCCTTTGCAATCCTTCCCAACAGCAGGCTCTTTCAGCAAGTTCCTCAGAAGTACTCAGCTTCTCTTGCTGGGTAAACAACTGCTGTGCAAGAAGCAAAAGGCAGCATTCACTCTCAGCCCTTTTTAATTCCAAGAAGGACCAGAGGCCAAATATAGCACTTCTTGTCTCTCTCGGTTTTAAGATGTATACTACAAACCACACTGATTAAAATACCCTCTGAGGGTATCCTACTTCCACATTTACATTTTCACACATTCCTATAACAATAGAAATCAAATGCAACTGATTTAATGAACTTTTGGAAATTGTTTTTCTCTCCTTGCTTAGTTTTAAAAATGTATTCTGTTTTGCAGAAAGCAAATGAATACCTGGAGATTGGAAGCATTACTTACCAGTTTACCTGGTAGGCCTGGGGAACCTACTGGTCCTATTTCTCCTCTACTGCCCTGTAAAATCAGAAACATCATTGTCAACTAGATATTAACAAAATAAAATCATTAATTACTATATAAATAAAATAACCCAAGTATTTTTTATTTTTTAAATATAAATGTCACCAAAATATTTTCCCCTTCCTTCAACTAAAGGCATAGGACCCAGTGATGGCAAACCTTTTAGAGACCAAATGCCAAACTACAACCCAAACCCACTTACTTATTGCAAAGTGCCAGCACTGCAGTGAAATGTGAATACTGGGGCTTTAGTTTAGAAAAAAACAACTTTACATTAACATCTTTTGTCTTAAAGAAAAACTACTCTTAAGTGAAATAAATAGGACACACATGTGTAAATATCGAATAGTTTCTCTGGTGTGAGAAACTGAAAGTGTAAATAAGTATCAAAATGTAGAACAGATAATGTGAAATAGGAAGATAAGGCCCAAAGGGAAAGGGGAAGTAGGAGGGTTAAGGGAAAGGAAAGGAATAAATATGATAAAAGAAAAAAATAGAAACAAAGTTTTTGTAAATAGGGAGGGGTGGAGGAGTGGAAGGGAGGGCAGGGGAATGGGGGAAAAGATAAGAACCAAGATACATTATCTAAAGTTACAAATTCCCAATGATGAATGTCATCATACTGCATACCTAAAATGTACCAATAAACTTAATAATTTTTTTAAAAAAAGAAACACAGTAGCACGCGTGCCACAGGCACAAGTCATCATATATAATCCTGTGTTCATCTTTCAACAAATATTGCACGGCTGTTCATTATGATTGCTAACCATTGGTAATATGTGATTATATATGAAATGGCAATTAACAACTTTCAGCATCTAACTCACTCTATATTATGGCTGTTTGTGAACACATTTTTAGAGGATGTGTTCTTGAGGTTATTCACTACACTTTACATAATTTAAAATTCTGCACGGTGTCTGAAACACAGAGTAAATTTTCAAGTCTACAGAACATTATAAAGTAACATCTGGCAAATTGTCTTTTATCTCAAAAGAGTGAAAAAAGAAAAATAAGACAGAGATGTTTGTCTTTAAATTACTACTGAAAATTCAAAAGACACAGATGGTAGAAATGTATAAAGTTTCTGAGATAAAAATTTCTTTGTTTTACCCATTCTTGCTCTAAATATGTCTTAAAAGATTAAACAGACTTTGAAAAGTACAATTCATAATGAAGTTACACTAAAAGCGACACTAATTCATTCTGCAGGCCAATTTTGAATGTTTACTTGAAATCTAAGTTTTCAAATTTTCATTTGAAATTCTAAACTTTTTTAAACTTTTGTAAAAAGGAGATACAAAGACTCTTCAATTTCTTTTCCTGAGAACCTCATATGTTTTATGCAATCTAATAAAAGCTTGTTTTATTTCTAACACAAGCTCAACTAAGCTGAACACTGAGGACGTTGGATAAATAATCACATTTTCTGAAAGATGTACATAAAAATGAAAGAGGTCCTTTGAGTTACTTTTTCTTTAAATAACATGCTTAATGTTTATAAATGCTTCTGGTAGGATTATTCTGTTCTGACCTGTGTGCTATTCATTCTTCTTTAAGTTGAACACTATATCAAGATCCATAAACCATCTGGATTTTCAGTTTCCCTAAAGGATCAAGAAATGTGTCCCAAATTACAACAGTCTCTAGCCATGAGCTATAAATTCATGGTAGTCATTTCACATGACTTGTAGGTGATATAAACTAAATGCTTTTAAATACTTTTCAACAACTTTTATGTGAACAACCTGCTTGGTGTAGGCGTCTGGAATGATACACTGGTCCTTAAGCCTCATGAGCAGCAGGAAAGCCAGAGGCAACATCCTGTGAGGACAGAATGGATAAATACTAGCCACTGCGATCGAGACTTCTAAGAGACTTCCCCCTTGATTTGGCCTAGAACTTCAAAGTTCAAGACAGATTTTCTTCAGTACATCTGCTCTCTTGGAATTTACAAATAATTTCTCAACTGCATCATGATTGGGATACTAAATGTCATTGAGCTAACATGAATTTAATTCTGAAAACAGTCATTGGTAGAAAAAAATTAATAGTATCAGAAGGGGACAGTTTAGCTCTTGACAGAACCTCAAGTATCACTTCTAAATGAATGAATCTTATGTTATCTTATCCAAAATAAAGATGATTAATATACTTTTTTCCATGAATAGACCAAGGGCTAAATTAAAATATAGGATTGTATAACCTATGATTTATTTTTGGTAGGATTATCTTCTCAGTCAGAGTCAAAGATTTTTCTCTGATGAAGTTTATTTTCTCTGTCTTTCACAAGTCTTATTCATTTCTTAAGTATTTCCCAACCCCTAGCAGCCTTAGTAACACAGGTGAGTGGCTCAGCTCTGTACTCCTGAGGGCTGACACCAGAGGACAGGAAGAAGGGTGTGCGACTGTGGGCATTACTCCTTTGTGACTGCACAGACCATCCGTGACTCTTTGTTCTTATTCTGCTTCCATCTTATAAATCCTCAGCCACTCTTAATGTAGATATTTCCACAGAAATCACCTCAGTGTGAAAATGGTAATGTTACATTCACAACAGTGACCAAACAGCTATGAACAAAAAGTAATGACCCTGTGGCCTTGGACACAGAAAATGTAGATAGATAATGTCATGAAATCATTTAACATTGTTCCATCATGGCTATCTCTTGGTGTTTTTTTTTCTTTATTCAAATACACATCCTGAAAAAATATATATTTTATAAAGTTACAGCTGGATGCTTTTTCACAAAATTAATATGCTTCTGTAACTAGCACACAGTTCAAGACATGGAACATCAAGAAACCCCTGCCCCGCTTCCTGCTATTCCCTACCCCCATCTTGACTTCTGATAGCACATATCAGTTTTGCCTAGTTTTGTTCCTCACATAAATTGATCAACATTATGCTTGTAAGAAATATCCATATTGCTGCATGTAGTGCAATTCCATTCATGGCTAGATTCCATAGTATGAGTCAATTATAATTTATTATTTTTATTTCTACTTTTAATGGGCATACTGGTTGTTATTTTAGGGTTTTTTTTAAAATGTGTAATTAAGAGTTGATTCATTTCTTTAAAGGATGTCACTGTATACTTTAGAGGGTTTCCTTAAGATATTATCAAACATTTTTATATAAAAAAGTGGAAATTTGGATAGAAAGTAATTGAAGGTGAGAAAAGGGAAGGAGCTAACACTGTCAAATAGTCTTTGCTTTTCAAACTCCCTAAGACACCCAAGTTACTTGGAAATGCTAAGTCTATAGCCCTCATGTCTCCAGTTTCTGTCAACACCACTGATCACCAGGCACATTCGTCACAAGCAAGTACTGGGTGGTACTTTGTAAACATAATTTCCATAAATACAGGCAGACAATTCAAATGGAGCAAACTATGAAACCTCTTAAAGATCACAGAAAACTCCAGTATACCTATGTTGCTAGAATTATTTGCCAAAATAAGGGATTTTTATTTCATCACCTTCTTCTAATGTCTGTCACATTTGTGAAATTTATCCAAAATTTTAACTAGCTGAAGAGTGAACACTATCTTTAGAACCTTGGCAGTTTTAGAAATGAGAATTACAAATCACTCTACTTGGCATAGTTTATATACTATCTTTCCCTCTGGCAAAAAAAGGATATTGATTAACCCAGGAGATGGATTACAATTTCTATAAACCACTGTCATATTAACATAGGAACATTATATTAATCTTACTACTGTGGTAACTTTTAGGTTTGATACAAAGACTTTTTAATGATTCAATTCCATTATACAGTTTGTATTTCTCTCTAGTATAAGTTTACAAGCTCCCTCAAATGAGAGGAAGAAAAGAACCGGTCTACACTGTAACCATGTCACACATTAGCTTCACGAATCACTGCAAGGCCTGGGTAGATGGGGGACACCAGCACCCCACGTGGGCCTCTGTGCTCACTGCTGATGTGTCAGGTGAGGATGAGGGACTCCAAGAGAAAGTGACAGGCTTCTGTACTCCAGGAGCACGTGCTCTTCAGTAAGTTGGAGGGAGGCAGGCCAACGTGGTTCTCATCCAATAAAACCATGAGAGGGAGGCACAAGCCTGGGAAAGTTTGAAGAAGCCTGGAAGATGGAAACTGACCAGTAGCCACTAGAAGGTAGGATCAAATCAGAGGTGAGGCTCTTTTCCTGCTCGGAACCAAAAGCCAACCAAGCCAAGTACAAATCAAGAGAAGTATGCCAGAGAAAGACACAGCAGAAATAGGTGCACAAATGAAATCACTGGAGGGGCCAGAATATAAAACTAATATTTATTGCAGCAGTACTAGCAAATGTTGATGGAGATATCATTTACATACTGCTGGGACATATTAGAAGTATGTTTTCATTCCCTCTACTCAGTTTGACTTGAGATTTGCAGGAAAAACTGATCAGACTTCTGAGACATAGTTGGAAATGTGCAGACTTATCTACAAAACTGAAGTTAATGATGTAAAATAAAGAACAAATGTAGCCTTCAGTAAGTAGATTTAGTGTTAAAACAATACGACAGAACTATAATATTTATAACATCATGACATTCTTCTGAAAAATTTATAGCAGGTGAGAAGTCAGTTATTACCAATGAAAACAGCATAGCAGGATTTATTATGCCTCTAACACAATTCGTTTCAAGAAAGATTTATTGAGCATTACCTTATGCCAGACCCTGAGTAAAGAGATGTAGGGTACCCAGATGTTAATCAAACATGCCCTTGTCTTTCTGAAGTAATCACAGCAAGGGGCGCAAAGGGGTCAAATGTTACAGAGTTCTGAATAAGGAATGATCACTTCTGCCCGGGGCACAGGGTATTACTGGAAGATAGTTCTTTGGTAGAATTAACATTTATATTATATCTAAGAGGGGACAGAAAATGCCAAGTCACAGAAATGGAGGAAAAGCCATCAAAATATAAATTCTGACACAAAGGAAAACAAGCAGTCTGAGAAGTACAGAGAATATTTACAAATGTATACACCACCCAGCCTGACCTGAACACAGGCACTGAGCCAGACAGAAATGAGAAATAAAACTAGGAGGCTAATAGAGAGTTTGAGGTTTTAGACCTCTTACAGTCACTGGAAATCCATCAGATTTTTAAATGGGGATGAAAAGTGATGATGGAACCTGTGGTTTGCAAAGACCAATATGGTGCCGTGTGCAGTCTGGGGTACTACCATTCTCCAGGGCCTTCGGAATTGTGTTTGTTACTTTTTTGTCATAAAGGCCATGGAGACATTCCTAGGGTTCTAGGTGGACATCATGGATGTGAGATACTTTTCCATGTGCAAGAATCCTGAAGAACAAAAAAGTAGCCCAATCTAAATGCCAACAGTTCTGTGTTTGGAAACACTACAGAGGATGGAAAGACTGGAGGTGGGAGAGCAAACCAGGAGATGAGTGCAGTCATCCAAGGAGTCAGCAATGACCTGAGTCAGGCTGGTAGAAAAGAAAGTAAAAAACCAGAGTCAAACACAAGAGATCTTGAAATGAAGACAGAATCTACAGTCCTAATAGGGAATAGAGGTAGGGAATGTGAGGAAGGAAGAGTGCCAAGGCTGTGAGCCTCAGTGACAGGAACAATGGGAAGGATTTGAAGTCACACAGAAATCTGAAAATCAGAATCTGAAATTCAGGCCCAAAACCCTACGTCAGCATAGATTCCTCTGATCCACCTCACATAAGCGAACCGACTCTCCTCAGCCCTGGGTGTTCTGCCTCATGGAGTTCACTGCTTGACATACCCCTTGGCACTTCACTAGTAGTGGATCTGGCATTCTCTACTTTGTGTCACATTCTGGGTACAGTACATGGTCCCAGCATACAGCAAGTGCTCAGACAATGCTCCTTCAACTACATTCAGCTTTCTGCTCAATTATATGAATAGCAGATATAATAATAAACACTCCAAGTGCTAACACCCTCACCCTACTAAACTGGCCTGGACCAGTGATAGAGCATCTTCATTGTTTAAGAAGCCTGGCAATAACCTCAGTGCATCAACAGTTAATTTATGGAAAGTATTTTCACCAGGAGTTTTCAGGGTTCAAGTAAAAGACAAGAAAGTAGTAAGCAATGAGCAAAAGAACAAGGAAAACAATTAGGACTAGGAGCTGGCTTCTTCAGTTGCAGAGAAATTTCAGGTCAGTTGATGAACATCTGTGAGAAGTAGAAAAACTCCACTCCCATGCCATAAGACAGCTAGAAACATTCACTATTTTCTACCATAAAACTCTCCATTCAATATGCTCAAAAATGCTTTAAAAGAAGCAATAATGATATGTGGAAATGTTTCTATGTTCTCACTTAAATATTTTTTGTTATCCAATAGACTGAAAATAAGAACTAAAATTAAAGGTCAGAAAGAATTTTTAAAGTCAAATTTAAGTGCATAATGTTTAATTTTCTAATGTTTCTCTCTAAGGATTAAATTATAACTTGTAAGAAAAGATACACTGCTGTATCCACTGTAAAATAGACAAGTTTACACACTCACACTTAGAGAAGTCTGACAGTTTCTCAAAAGATAAAATATAGTCACTGTGAGGCAAAGCAATTCCACACCTAGTTATTTACCCAAGAGGAATCAAAACATATATCCACATGAAACTTGTGCACAAATTTTCATACCAGCATTATTCCTAAAGGCCAAAAAAATGGAAGCAATGCAAACGTCTATCACCAGACAAAGGGATCAATAAGATATGGTACACCAACACAATTAATCCATACAATTAAATGTTCTGCAGCAGTATAAAGGAAGTACAAAGCTTGTTTATACAAGCAACGGCACAGACAAATGTTCAAGCACTGTGCTAAGTGAAAGAAGATAAACATTTCTAAATGCCACGCAGTGTATGACTTCACTTATATTAACTTTTCAGAATCACCAAACCCACAGAAACTGAAAGTGGATTTGTGATTACATAGACCTGAAGGACTGGGAAGAAATACTGAATGACTGCTTGTGGGGACAGGGGTTCTTTTGGGTGATGAGAATGTTCTAATATTGATTGTGGTGATAGCTGCAAAATTCTGTGAATATGGTAAAAATCAATGAACTATCCAGATTAAACACGTGAATTACACAGTATGTGAATTATATCTTAATAAAGATGGATTTTTTTAATCATGCTAAAATATTTCCTTCATAATAGGTTGAGAGGAGAAGGGGGCTATCATGTTTCTCTTAATCACCTCCTTTCTGTTTCTATTTTCTGCAAAGAAGATATGTTGCATCTAAATAGCATTCCTGTAGTGCTGTTCATCAAGCTACCACATGCTGAGCCATGGATGGCATCTGCGCCTGCCTGGCAGCCCCTTTCCGAAGGCATCACAGGTAAGGGGTACTCACCGGAAGCCCTCGGGGCCCACGTGGTCCCACCTCTCCCGGAGGCCCCTGCTGGCCCTGTTAAGAGGAAGACAGAGAAAAGGTTAACATCCCCTCATATCAACAGGCCATAATTGATGAAAGGTAAAATGGGATCTTACCGGTTTGCCTGAATTTCCCAATTGACCGGGCTTCCCTGGAGCTCCTGTGTTACCCTAAAAGCAAGCAACATTTTAGAGTAACTCAGAAAGTGAGTATAATCATCAGCCTGCCTCACCCAACCCAAGTATTGCTAATAATTAAATAGACTTAATCTCCTGATCTCACATTAAAAATTGGGGGGAAAAATACATCAAAGTCCTTTAGATTCAAGATACTATCTTTAGTCCCAGAAGTATATTAAGGTCAAATGTCATAAAAAGAAAGTTCTTTAGCTTTCATTTAAAGGACTGTCCTTCAACTGGAGGGTTTTCCTTTTTTTATGATGTTAATTATATGTGTCTTTACCACTTCCACCTTCAATAGGCTTCTTCAAGCCTTCATACCTCACATTTGGCACTGTTCCACTTTTAAGGATCAGGTGGGTATGAGGAAACTAGAGGACAAGCTGTTGAGAACCCCTGCAGCAAACTGAGGGAAAGCACATGGAGATGCCACCTCCAACCCCAGTGTCCCACCGTGGGCCTGGTAGGGGATCACCTCTGCTCAAGATGCAGTGAGCCACAAAGATGGGAGGTTTGCACCCAGTACTCCAAAGTGACTATTTGCTACACTGTTCACATTTTATCTCATGTACTCTAAGGCAAAGCTATATTTCCACTCCTTTTACATATGTGTTTCACCTACTGTTTTTAATTGCTTGTATTTTGGTTCTGTATAGAATATAAGCACTGGTTGATTTGTATGTGAACAAAATGTTTAATATCTTTTTAGTTCAAGCTAAATTATCTTAATAATAATCATTGATGTAAGTTCTATGGCTTAATAATGTCTTCCTTATTTTAAGTAGTAAGGAACAATAAAACTTTCTCTATTTCATACTGGCAAAGGATGACATTTTCATGAAGAAAGTCTAATCAGCAACTTTCTGCAGCTGGGAAAAAGATTAGCATTCAAAGCTGTAAAGCTTTTACATTTTGATTTCTCCCTGGGGTTAAATGTAAAATAAAGGGCAGACTGGGAATATTAAAAATCATAAAGAAAATATATTAATAAAAGGTAAAGAAAAATATTCATTTAAAAGTTTAATCCTTTACCTTTTCACCAGAAGCACCCTTTGCACCAGGAATTCCAGGTACACCCTAAAAGAACACACAGGGAATTTAGATTTAATCACCTCATTTGAGAAGGCCATAAGATGCCAGGCCGACTACACACTGACAACCTCAAAGAGGTCCTGGGAGGGAGGTACTTCCTGATTCTCAAACTCTGGACATCAGCTATATAATTGCCTACAGTGGAGAGCCATTCTCTTACTGCATCTGGCTTGTTAAGATGAATACTTTCCAAGCAAATCCTACCTCTGAACTCAGGTTACTTTCAAAGGATAAACTTCCAAACTAGACTCCATTCCCATTTGCAGGTCAATGGGAGATCTCATAGGCAGGACAGATGCTACAGGGACGAAACATGGTTTCCTATACAGAATAATGAAATTAGGGCCCAGTAAAAATGCTCAAGTTTGCAGCAGAAAGAGTGACAGAATGACACTAGGCTTCAGATGTGATCCTCATAGTCTATTTTTAAAATGTCAACTATCACAACAGATTGGGGCCAGTCTTTCATATCACCTGGAATCCTTTATGAACTTGAAATATTTGCCTTCAACGAGGCAAGAATGCATATGGTAAAATCCACATGAATTTTCAGCTACATCAAAGTAGGAAAACACCATTTTGGATGCTTTAAAACAGCACATAATCCAAAAAATTGTAACTTGAAGATAGATTATTCTCCAAGAACACTCTCAACCCTTCTGTAGCTTAACTCTGCCAACAAGAGCTCTAAGACTGGTTAAAAGGAGGACCAACTGTATAGTACGAGCCCACTGACCACGGTTAGTAAAACTGTAGGGAGGACAGTAAACTAAAAAAGAGAAGACAGATCCAAAACACAGATATAAAAAATTACTAGTTACTCAGAGAAAAATCACAAAAATGTAAAATTATGAAAATATAAAAGTAAAACATCATATCTTCCCCAGAACTAATCAACTTATGTAACACGTCACTACCCGCAAATATCTTTAAAGCACGTATATAAGCCAATAAACATTTAAAGAATCCAGTACTTACTGGTAACCCCTGTAACCCTGCATCACCAGGAGGCCCAGGCTTCCCTGGCTCACCCTGAAAATAAAAAGTGTTTAGCACATCATTGAACCTGTATGAACTGCTGCATTTCTTTTAAGAAAGAGGAAAACATAGGCCTTCTAAGTAAAAAGATTTTCCCACAGCTGACCTTATGTGCGCTAAAATGTGACTTAATGTGGAACAGGGTGTGCAGCAGGACAGAGGACATAAATTCAATCAAAACACACAATTGCCCTCAGCCTATCTGTAGCAAGGGGGCAATTTTACTGAGCTCCTAAAAGGAAGCAAATAAGTATGCTATTCTAAAATAATTTTGGATTTGACACTTGATTAAAAATTTAAAAGAGAAAGCAAGCCAGGGCTGGCTAAATAAGCCTCCTGGTCATGTTGCCATGGAAATGCTGTGTTCATCTGGCAGGCAGAGGCAGCCCCACTCACTCCTGGACTGAGCCACACAGCTACCTTTGTTCCAGGCATCCCAGGTATTCCATCTTGGCCGTCCACTCCTGGCAAGCCCTAGACGTGCACAAAGAAACACAACTGTCTCTTAGAACAGTCACATTCTTCTTCCTTGCACTATTTTCTAGAGTTGTATCACAAGTCAGTAATTACTCTGAAAAATGCACTTGATACAAATAGCTCAGGACCTACCGTGTCTCCTTTGGGCCCAGGGACTCCAGGAATTCCTCTAGAACCTTGAGGACCCTACAGTGGAGAAGAGAAAGAATAAACAATGCGTCAAGCAAATAAGCAAAACCAGTGAAAAGCAGGATGCTTGAAGTGATTAAGAGGAACCTGAACTCACTTTATCTCCCTTGGGACCTGCTTCTCCTAGAGGTCCTCGCTGTCCTTGATCACCCTGTATAAAAATAAAATGTTGTTCGTATAGGCAAAAGTTACTTCTAGATAGATTTTTTTAAACATTAGCACACATCATCCACATTACTTAACTATTGCTCTTTCACCACAATGGCTTTGATCTATCATGGGTGCCAAGCTAAAGAAATCTTTTCATAAAAAGTATGTGGCCTCAAAGATTGATATTGATATAAGGAAAATTGAGGCTTGCCTATCTTTTATTTTTTAGTTGCATAATGTTTCTGTACTACTTGGATGTACACATAAAATAAAGCAAGTCCCATACTGCAGGTGCTAACACCAGTAACTTCATCAATGTTATGGTTCATATCTAGATGGCTCCCTCAAGGGTTTCCTTGAGGAGCATAGGTAGGCCCTTTGGAAGGCGACTGGATTATGGGCACTTATAGCTGGCTTGCTGTGAGGAGGTGGGGTCTGGTTGGAAGAGGTGGGTCACTGTGAGCATGACCCCAAAGATTCTGTCTCCCCCTGGGGAAGCTCCTCCCTTGACTGTTTACTGGGCAACAGGACAAAAGCAGCTCTTCCTCCTCTGTGCCCCTCTGCCGTGCTGTTCTGCCTTGGAGCCAGCCAACCACGGACTGGAACTCTGAGCCAAAACAAACCTCTCTTCCACTGAGTTATAGGTGCTGGGTAGTGTGTCTCAGAAGAAGCAATGAAGGAAATGATTAAGACAATCTACCTATAAGCCAGTCTCATTATCTATTATGGTGCCACGAGGGTTGGCTTTGTTGCCAGTATTTTCTCCTGTATTATTTAATTCCTCATTTAATAATGATGATTTCTGTCAAAATTTGCCAACTAATGGTGATTTGGAATAAGTGATAACAGGTGAGGGGAGGTATCTTCCTAATACACAGCTTTTTTTGAAAAATTGCTTAATCCCTCCAAAACCTTGAATGCCTCCCTACTGCTACCAGAGCAGATGAAACTGTTTAGAATGGTATCAAACATTCTCTACAATGTGGTTCTGCCTTATCTAGTCAACCTTCTCAACACATGCTTTCCACGCAGGCTGTGCCAGCCTTTCTGTGGGCATACTTAGCCCGTGGCCACCAACAGTGCCCTCCTGTACCTGGGTGCTTTTCCATCCAGAATGGCTTTCCAGACCAACCGTTCACTGAGGTCCTCTTGCAAAGGTTACCTCTGCCAAGTTCTAGCACTTGATCTTTCAGCTCATCCTGAGGTACATTCTGTCTCTTCCACGGACCATAGGGCCTTGATAGTTAGAAATTCTATCTTACTTTTATCTTTTCTACTTTTTATAGCTATAGGTGGTTAGTAATGGGTGGCTTTTTCTGCTTTGCTCCAAAAAAGGCTTGAGGCAGCCTACAGTGACACATGTATGTAAGGTAACCAAAGTATAAAATAATGAGATCAGAATCCATAGAAGACAAAAAGGCTAGAAATACCCAGGAACCACCATGGAGTAGTTACTGTTACTCTAAGCATCTTGACATCAAAGTGAAAGGAAAACAGCAAACATAAATATTTAACAATATGATTTATCCTATTAGAAAAAATCAAATCAGAGAAGCATTTCTCTGCCCAAGAAAGAGACAATGAAATTACAACTTTTTAAATAAGCACAAAATTACCACCCATTTTCCCATGTTAATTATTCATATGTATAAGCTACTTGCACATACTGATATATATGTAGCAAAATAGTCTAGTATCCTGCCTCACAAGCGCAAGGTCCCAAGTTCAATCACCGGTACCAAAAACAAAACAAAAGAAAATCTAGTATTGCTAAAATATATGAATGTGTGAGTGTGAGTGTATGTGTGTGTGTTCACATGAGTGTCACTGGGTTTTAGAAAAAGAAAAGCACTTACGGGTGCACCAGGAAGACCTTGAGGCCCAGGTTCTCCATCTAAACCCCGAGCACCCTGTAAAAGAACAAGACACACAAAGAAACTTGAGATTAGCCATATATGTTAAAGGCCATATCTATATTTCTAAAGAAATGCAATAGCCACACAAAAAGATCTTGTGTTTATAACACATACCATATTTATCAGTGAGCTCAGAGGAGAAGTATGCAAAACTCATCACATCAACAGTATTCAAGCACCATCTTTGCTACCACTCTAAACTGTTTATATTAACACTGCACCCATTTGCTAATAGTGACAGGTACTGAGAACACTGGTACTTACACAGATAACCTGGCAAATCCAAAGAAGGTGTCTTGGTGGCTACCCTCCGAGGTTCTCAGAGAGCCCATGGGACTTATTAACAGTGAAGGTCACAGGGCCACCCTACAGCAACATTGGACTCTTAAATGCCACAACCATGAAGGGACTTCCGGGATGCTGGACCTCCCTCCAGGGTCTAGGGCAGAAAGTCCATCCATGTGATTCAGAAGAAAGCAAGCCAGAAGGACGTGAGCATCCTGAGCGTTTGATCAGCCTCCTGCCCCACTGAGCCTGTGGTAGGTTCAGCTTATGTGCACTGACTACTTTTCTCACCAATAGACCCACCTACCAAGTGATGGTGTAAAAACTACCCAGAGCTTTGTAGGCCTATGTATCTGGAAATGGTCTCTGGCTTGGCTACATATTATATATATCACTTCCTTATTTTCATTATATGAATCAAAATGTGATCTTTAAAACAAAATACAGAGTTTTAGTGCTCTCTACATATGCTTCTTGACAAAAATACAACTTCCACCTTTAAATCTTACTCTTATCTACAAAGTGAATAGCAAACCATAAGGACAACAAAAATGAACCTAATGAGCCAGGTTGGGAAGAGTAGATGATAAAATAGATAGACGGCAGTTAAAGAGTATGAGACAGATGTCAGGCCAAGAGAGCCAGGTGGACAGCATGTGTAGTAAGAATTAAAAATCAGAAAGCCTTTGATAAAAGGCTCAGATGTAGGTAGAATCAAGGAAAGAAAGAAAAAAAAAACAGAAGCAGAGGGACCACAGAGCCTTGAAATTCTCTGATCCCTAAAAGCTGCAACAGAGACATTCTCTGTTCACCAGGAAGAAAGAATTTGGAGGACCAGAAAAGACAGTGAGTTCTTCATTCACTGAGCAGAACTGGGCTTTGCTCTATACAAATGACTTTGATATTCATTCTCTTTCTCCCTCCCTTCCCCTCCTTGCTCCTCTCTCCCTTCCCTTCCCTCTCCCTCACTCCCCCCTCCATTACTGTTCAGCTTGAGCTCAGACCCAAACTGCTGTTACTAGGTAACCACTCCAAGGCTGAGTTCATAAAAAGAGCTTTTTTTTAAAGCAATTTGAAAGAAATCAAGGGAAATGAGAAATTTTGAAAACTACTGAATAGAAAAATACCTCAAATAAAGAGCATATCAAGAACAGTAATTGGTTTCAAAATGAGGGGTCACATATTTTAGGGGATGATTTAAATCCAGAAAAAGTGAAGGCCTAGCTATAGCAGCATCAAAATAAATGGATTTAATAAAAGAGGAGATGCAGAATGTTACTTCAGGTAACACAAATATATAAATATAAAAGACTAATATGTTTTTCAAATGCAGTGTTTTTAGGAAAGAAATATTCAAGAGGAGATAGAAGGAGGCAGGCAGCAAGAAAATACCTAGAAGGAACAGAAAGACTGAAGAAAAAGTAAAATTGTAATTTAAAAAATGGTAAGTAAGCCAGACTTTCAATTCACGGAACAGTGCGTCTCTTTCATTTAAAAAAGGTTTAATTTCATGTACGAAGCATTAACAATGTGTGACTTGTAGTTATTTGTTAATAAAAGGCTCTATGTAGCTATATGGAACTGACATAAACCCACCTTCGTGACTTTGAGGAGAAAAGGACAGGTCAGAAGGGCAGGATTATTTTTAATGTTCCAGGGCCTAAAAACTGGCTTTCCCAACATTTGATGTGGTAACTGTTTTCTAACAAAGAAGTTAGACACACTACACACACACACCAAGGAAGGAATTTCTGAGGGCCTTGAAAATGTGCTGGTTTCCACTGTTTTTCCTGTGATGTTCACTCAGCCAGCTTCATTCTTCACCACTGGCAGCACCTCATGGTGTGGGCCAGGCGTCCTCTGACACCATCTTCTTGGGGCCCTCTCAGTTCCCTCCTTCATCTGCAACTCTCCTGGCACCTGTCTTCAGTCACCCATGTCTCCCTCACTGGCCTCACAGCTAGCTGTCTGCTTATTCCTCTCTCTCAGTGAGTGACAAACCCCATGCAGGCCTTCTACCTCTATAGATCTTCCTAGCAGCTTGCAGGGTCCCTTGCCACGGAAGTGCTAGGAAAATCTGACTTCTGCACTGGCTAGGGGTAAGCTGGAATACTCTGGCCCAAGTGTATAAACCCAGTTTTAAACAGGGCCTGCTGGCCCGTGAGCCCAGCATGCCATAGTGCCTGGGAGGTATCCTACGTTTCTCTCCCCTCTCTTGCTGCCCCTGTCTTTGCTTGGCCAGAAGCACTACAGGCAGTCAGTGTTCTCTGTATGAACTGCTGATGATCTTCAGCAGATAAAACAGACAATCCACTTACTCTAATCCCCCAAGATAACAAAACATACAGAGTATGGTCCTCTGTCTCCATGGGTTTCACATCCATGTATTCAATCAACCAGGGGTCACAAATATTTGGAGAATAATTGCTTTTACACTGAACATGTAAAGGCACTTTTCTTGTAATTATCCCCTAAATAACACAGTACAGAGACCATTCCCACAGCATAGGTTTTGCATTAGGAATTATAAGTAACCAAAAGATTATTTAAAGGACACAGGAGGATACTCACAGGTTATATGAAAATACTACTCTATGTTATATAAGGGTCTTGACCATCTGCAGATCTTGGTATCCTGGGTGATGTCGGGGTCCTACACCAACCCCCATGGATACCAAGAGGTAACAATATGACAAGTACCATGCAGACTGCTCTTTTATGTCACCCAGCTTACAAGAGAAATGTGAGGACCTAACCACACGTCTACAAAGCATCAAATCAGAAGTGGTATTGCTTAAGTGATTTTAAATGGCCACATTTTAAAATATTTAATACATTTTGATATTATGTTATTATCATCACCATCTTACTTTTTCTCCTTTGTCCCCAACTATGCCAGTGATGCCTCTCAAACCTTGAGCTCCCTGGAAATACAAAAAGGGAAAAGTGAATTAATGTAGTTAAAGCAAGCATTTTTAAAAGTCTTATGTCAGAAGCTGATCCCGAAGAATGATATTATCATAACCAAAAGTAACAAACTGAAAATAGACAAACTTTTCTCGTTTAGAAGGAAAATGCCAAGAATTCTGATGGTGAAACTCTTTACTAAAATTCTGGAGACTTACCCAAATATTCAATAGTTGAGTTGGTACAACTATTGATGACCAAGACGTAAACATTATTAGCATAAGGGGAATTCTGATAATGGGTTTAACTCATCTTTTGACTCACGTACAGAGCTGCCATTCCTTCATAGTTTGTCACCTAGTTATATGTAACAAGATTTTAAACCTTGAATAATTTTCCCCACCAAAAGCAGTGAGTTCTAAGAAATCCACAAAAGCCTAAGACCTAGAAATGGAGCTGGAGTCTCTATCAACCACATATTTTCACTCTTCAGTAGTATTTCATTCCTGTGATAAAAGGCATTCTGGATTCTACCTTGGGGTAGGAGGAACTATCTCACCTCATCTCGGGCACAGCAGTGAACCATTCTAAAAGTGTGGGGTCAGTGTGAGGGGTAGAGTTCCTGTCCATCCTGAAATGCCGCCATTTTAGACTCTGAGTTTATGTAGGAGGACTCCAGAAAGAGACCTTGTTTCTAAGGGGTGAGCCTGGCGCTCCCTTGGGGGCATCTGTGAGCACAGGCTGCATAGGAAAGAAGCCACTTCTGGACATCTTGCTAACTGTCCACATTTAAGATAAATTAGCTCTGGGCCAGTCATTTTCCTCATCTTTCCACTGGGAGAAAATGGGGCAAGTCCATCTAGGTCAGTCACAAATTCTGTGTATCAGTCAGGGAGGGGCTGAAATTCAAATGTGAAGGGTGATCCAGCTGGGGATATCCACCTACGAAGTGGCCACATCAAGTTAAAGTGTGATTTCATGTATGGATCAGTTACCAACTCTAAAGGTAATTCTACACAAAGAATTTAAAGAACATTTGGTCAAGAGCAGTGACATGAGAATCCCCAGGTAGTCTCTAGAAGTGACTACTTTGAGGGACAGAGTTTTATATAAATATGCCAAGAGGTATGTTTTTTAAATCTGTGCACTATTTTATATTTGTCCATATATATTTAAAAAGTGAACATCTGTGAATTCTATAGAAACATTTTGACATCCCTACTCCCAAACACCAGAAGGACAAGACACACTACTATTATCTCCCAGGGAAATGTGTGGGCCATGTACCACGCAACATCAATACTTAATCTTTGAAAACACTTTTAAGAATGTTGTTTGCAAAATCCTGTTCGGAGTATCTTTGAGAATGGCCTTAAAATAAAGTTTTTAAAAAATTTTGCATCTCTACTGAATTTTCATCAGCTCAAAAAGGAAGCCGAACATGGTGGTGTACACCTGTAATCTCAGCATGCCAGGAGGATGAAAAAGGAGAATCTCAAGTTGGAGCCCACCCTGGGTAACTTAGCAAATTAGCAAAACCCTGTCTAAAACTAAAAAATAAGACTGGCTGGGGATGCAGCTCAGTGCAAAGGTCCTGGGTTCAATCCCCAGTACAAATCAAAACAAACCACAAAAGGGGCTGGGGATTTAGCTCAGTGGTTCCACCACCTGCCTCTCAAGCAGAAGGTCTCCAGTTCAATCCCCAGTACTGAAAAAAAAAAACCCCACAAAAACAAAATGCTAACTTATAGTAACCATCACTATCTCCCACCCATGAAATAGGGGTCCAGCTCCTTCTTGTCTCTCATCAAAGGCTCAGGCTAGGTGAGGTTCCAGAACAAACATTGGATTCCTCCACAGAGCCCTTTAAAATTCTCATGTGGCCTAAAAGCAGAGCCCATTTCTTCCAGATTCTCTGACTCATTTCCTTTAGCTTGATTTCCCTTAAATTCTAGGTAAACACTAATGTGCACAGCTCCCTGGCTGCTTTTTAAAAGGCAGGTCCTGTGCACCCACACAGGGCAGATAAGGGGTGCTTGTACTCCCTCACTCTTTAGCATAACGCCTGAGCCCATCTGATACATGGGGTGCACCCAGGGTAGCTGCAACATTCAATGACTTTTCTACATTTAGTATTTCCATATTTTTATGACTCATTTTGACAAGGAAACAGCATAACAATTGCACATTACTGTAGTCCAAAAATAACTTCTGATTTTGCAAACATTTTAAATTGAAGTATGCTGATGCCCAAGTACCTCAGATATTATTGCAGTAGTCTTCCTAAGCACAAAGGACTAACATTTTATTAAAAGACGTGATTCTAAACAAATAAGAATGTTCTAATAATAACGAGTATGTGCTGAAGCAAGCTACATTAAGCAGTAGATTTTATACCTTACTGCCTATTCTGAGTATACAAAATTTTCTCATGATATCATGTGGTAGAACCACAAAATATAAAAGAGACGTCATTATCTTGTGCTCAGTATTTGTTTTCAGATTACTTGGGCCTGGAGTCTATTAAATGAAGATATGTAATTATACATACAATTTTTTAGGTAAAATAAGTGCTTTGAAAATGTGGTCATCTTCCGATGTTGGCTTGGTGGGAAAACAGAAAACACCATGTTGATACAATGTTATTAATCTACATGCTAAATAGAAAGTGCTCCAAGAATCATTTTTTAAAATATTTGCATATCCTAGTAAGATATTTTTTAAAGATACTTTACTGGAGGTCCTTGGGCGCCAATTTCTCCTGGTTCTCCTTGGTCACCTTCTTCACCCTGACAAACAACACAGCACAAGAGATGTTTAGAACAGCAAATGAGCACAGAACCGCACTCGGGCTAGCTCAGTCCATTTTGAGTTCACGTGGCATCCCCTAATGCGCTTTCCTAAATGATTTTGGGTGGGCAATTAGTAAGTATTAAAAAAACCATAAGTATATAAAAATAAAGTCTCCCAAATCATCATTAAACCATAAATATCACTAACATTTTAGATACTATTATTTCAGAGATTTCTGAAAAGAAAGAAAGCAAAGAGGAGGAGAGAGAAAACATGTGTACACTCATGTTCCAAATGTGTGAGGGGTGGAATATTGTTAAGAAAACTATGATTATACTATGCAAACTTTTCCATAAGCTATGGTATTCCTTAATTATGATTTATATTTTATTTTATTATAATACTTTACCATACACAATTTTAATGTAGTTAAATTTGTCTTTTCTTTCATGGGTTATGCCTTTGATGTCACTCATAGAAATGGTTTTTCCATTCCAAAATATTTAAACATTCAGCTATATTTTTCTTTCAGTAATTCTATAGCTTAATTTCTTACACTAAAATCTTTATCAGTAATGTATTTTTATGTAAATTATAACATAGAAATGTATCCTTTTTTCCAGGGAATTGGTCCCTTAGCACCGGATCACTTACTGAATAATTGATACTCCTCATTCAGATCAGAAAATTCATCTTTCACATACATTGAGTTGCAAAACATACTTGGCCCTAGTTTCCTACTGTCCTTTAATGATCTGTTGTATGATGTTGCCAAAGCCATAGCATTTTAACTTTGAAACTGTATAATAATAAATTTTCATCTCAGGCAGGTAGAATTCCCTTACCTTTATTTTACATTTATAGTTACTCTTATTTTCAGATTCTCCTAAATGTTTACTCTTCCAAATGAACCTTAAAATAATTGTGCAGATCACCACAAAAATATGACTTGTTTTATCTTCAGTCTGCATGAAATCTTTCTATTCTAGAAGCCATTGTATCTCCCTATTAATCAAATATTTTCCTTTTATTTTCATGGATAAAGTTTTCTTTTTTTCTTCATATTAAGCTTAAGTATTTCTTAAGTTTATTCTCCAGTATTTTGGCTATTTGGTTGTTATTGCCAATGGAATTTTCTTCCATCATATTTTCTGTTATGTTAACTTTTTGCTGTTTTATAACATCTGATATACTTCACAATGATAGGGTATTCCAAAAGTAAGTCTGACTCCTATCTCTTACAGAAAGATTATTTTATGGACTGAAAAAAGTTACTTTTCCTCTGGTAAATACTTTATATTTTTATAATAGATATGTTGTCTCACATTTTCTTTGGTAATAGATAATTTACGAAGTTAGTCATGAGAAAGTCTTCATTTATAATATTAATGCTGTAAATAAGATTACACTGAAATCTATTTCTACTGCATATTTCAACTCATTTTCTTGCTCTATAGACTATAACATAGAGATTTCACACACACACACACACAAAAACCACGTACAGAGAATTTAACAGCAGTGTTAATGTAGAGCATTTAGGCATATGATGCAAAGAACTAGGTTATGCCTAAACCATTTGTACTTCATTTTTAAATGAGTTACAAGAGTATTACATATTGGTTTTAGTCTCATAATTATATCGTGATTCTATTCCATTAGGACTTCTTATTGACACTGGGAAGAAAAGTCTCAATTAAAAGGCCAGTGAGTTAGTTGGTTCGTGGGTAATCACTACACGTACATCATTGAATGTTACTTGTTTTTCCTACAAAACTTTAAAATTAGCTGCAAAAACAACAATGATGGGTATATCCTCACAATTTTTCCTAAGCAGGGTGGGGTGTATTTTCCATAGATTCTTCATGAAATGTGGAGTAACCTATCCGAATTAAACTTCACATACAGATGAGAAGCACCACCTAATGGATAACCACATTTAAAATGACAAATTTAGTACTAATTTATTATCATTTTATTGAAAGATATTTGAGTGAATGCTGATCAGCTGTATGATGTTGCCAATACCATATCTTGATTATTGAAATTTCCCATTCATTCCTATATTCATAAACAACCTGAAACATCTACATTATCTAATTCACAAAATATATTCAAGACAAATTTGTGAATCCAAAACCAAACTGAAGGCCTCCCTGCTCTTCTAATGATCCTACTTTCATTTGTGGTTCATTCCAACTGTTAGCCTTTTAGGGTTCATTCTTCAATGAGCAACCATCACCCTATCTTCTTACATCAATTGTCAAAGGTACCATTTAAAGCTTTAGGTGACTCAAAAATGTGAAATAAACTAATGGAATTTTCAACCACATTTAAAGAAAATCTCAGCCAATTACCTAACACGGAAAAAATAAGTGGCAAGTTTCCCACTGAAGACCAAACCAACTTTCAGAGTCTAGATAGCAACTAACTTGAATAGGTACCAAAAGTAATGGTTTGGAGAGTGGAGAGACCTTGACAGACAGCTGCATCCCCCAATCCCATGGGAAGAAGGAGTGAAAGTTGCCCAAAGGAAGAGGAAGAGATATAGAGCACTGACAAGACAAGTTTATTCTCTCTGTTTGACTACACATATTACCTAATGGATATTATTTGATGTGTAATTAAATACTCCTGCATGCCTATTTTTTATGGTGAGCTAATATTCTATTATATGATTGTCATATTTAACTTACGCTGTAATTGGTCTTTTTTTCACTTTTGTGGCCTAGCACTTAGAATAAAACCTGGCATACACTAGGTACATAATAAACATTGGTTGAATTTTTTATTGTTTTATTTCTTTGGTACTGTTTTGTTTTTCTGGTTGGTTTAGATCGGTTTGGTTTGGTTGGTACTGGGAGTGGAACCCACGGCCTTCACACTGAACTATATCCCCAGCCCTTTTCAAACATTTTCTTTTGAGACAAGGTCTCAATAAGTTGCTCAGGCTGCCTCAAATGTGGAATCCTCCTGTCTCAGCCTCCCACAGCTCTAGCATTAGAAACATGCGCCAGTACACCTGGCTGAATTTTCAAAATTAAGATTCAGTGGAAGAATAAACATGCAGAGAAATCTCCAAAGTACACAATTTTTAAAAATTTTACTCAGGTTTGACATCAGGAACTCATGCCTTAACTGTTCACAGCCTAAGTAACAAAAAAACTTTTACCACAAATGTTTGAAGTATAACAGGGTACAGAAAATCAGCCTAGTTATCCTGATTATGTGAAGTTAATCAGCAGATTGATTTTAGCTCAGGAGTTCAAGGACATCAACACTTGAAGACACGAATATATGGCCTGTGTAGTTCTTTACTTCCACAGGAAAAAACTAACCTTTTACTATTACCAGTTAAGGTGTAGAAGGACACTATAAAGTTCTATAAAGTTCATAGGACCTGCACTAAGAACGGTTTAACTTAGCCAGGTAGGATGGCACACACTTGTAATCCTAGCACTCTGGGAGGCTGAGGCAAGAGGATTACCAGATCAAACCCAGCCTGGAAAATCTAGTGACTTAGTTAGACTCTGTCTCAAAATAAAAAATTGTTAAAAAAAAAAGGCAAGGATGTAGTTCAGTGCAAAGGCCCTGGGTTCAAATCCCAGTACCAAAAAAAAAACCAGTTTGACTTTGTACAGTTTTACAAAATTTACTAAGACAAAAGCTCTACTATGCAGGAAATAAAGTTCTTAGACACTTAGAGATGGTTTACCCTAGTAGTTGGAAAAAATGGCAAATAGCTCACTTGCTCTAAATTTCAGCCTTGGTTTTTCTGCAGGTCATACTAGTTGTTCTATAAATTCCACATTTCTACCCAGGTAAGAGCACATGTTATCACTGACTTCCAGCCTATTCAAAATCTAGGCTATATTGAAATAAAGTGAAAAAGAGAGAGAGACAGAGAAATTATTTCAGAACTGGAGATGAGATAAAACAATTACCCATTTCTCTGTTTGCTAGTCTCGGGAATGCTTGTCCTAACATTTTACAAGAGTCACAAAATTTTATTTTATGGCATGGAACAACTAGTTAAATGGCTATCACAAACAACAAGGAAAAAATCTGAATGTGACTGATTTTTAAAGGGAGGAAAGAAAAGATAGCCTCACAGAAAAAAAACCCCAAAATATCAGGTACCTTCATTTTTTTTATAATCAAACAACTTCAGAATATTATGCTGTCAGAATATGAACACATCTACTGAGAGCACATCAATCATTATCTGAAAGAGAAGGCTAAGATATAAAATATGATGTTTATTATTCCCTGCAATAGCTTCCATTGAAAGTGATCACTAGTTCCTAAGCACAATTTTTCCACTAAATACTCATTTTCCTTACCTTGTGTCCTTGTCTTCCTGGTTCACCAATTTCTCCTTTAGCGCCTTTATGACCCTAACAAATGTAAACATACATACAAATAAATAAAATTGAATTGAGTCTGATATGGAAAATGATCAGAAGGCTAAGAAAATGACACTGCTTCCCTAAATCTATATCCATGAGCAAATAAGAAAAAGGTTGTATCACAAAGAAAACCCCTGTTTTAAATGAATTTAACAGCATCACATGGATCACATGACTGCTACACTCAGTGAACATCAGCTTCCTTTAACAGGGAAGCAAGGTTCTACAACAACAAAGCATCAATTACATGATTCACTGACACCTGCCTATTCCCCCAAATTCCTTCTGAAGCTGGGTTAAGCGTTAAGTCTTCGTCAGTCCCTTACTTAACTCTTCCCAAGTGACACCCTAATCCAGATCACCTGCGTATTCCCTGCTCTCTGAAGGCTGTTCTGAAACCCTCCCTCCTCCTCTGTCCCCACCTGGACCTAGAGGGAGGGCTGGCCTGAGACTCGAGTGTCTCCAGATGCCACCTTTCTGCCTGGCATGGCAAGTGGCAAGAAAGCAGCCAAGGCTGTGGGGTGAACAGGGGGCCCTGTTCCTTCCTATCAGGCCACTCCTTCTAAGCAGACATGCTCAGCAGGGAGAGGCATGAGCCAGTCTGGGAGACAAATGCTCCACAACTGAGTCTGCCCAAACTTTCACCCTCCTTCGAATCGTTTTAAGGAATAAGACACCAACCTAGACCCAAATCCTCCAGTGGAGGGTGCCAGCCAAAACTACCCTTGGGAAAACTCTGGGGAAATCCTGTGGCTTGGAGCCCAGGGGTTGGAATTTCTCAGAACCCCTTCAGCCTCAGAGAATAGAGAGCGAAAGCCATTGATCCCAGAAATGGACATTTGATTCTTGTTTTTTTATGAAATATCTCAAACCAATCCTAATGGCAGCGTGAGAGAAAAACACCTTAGGAAATTCTCTTTTCCTGTTTATTTTGCAATTTTTCCAGTTCTTTAAAAAGCAAAACATGCTCAAATTCATTATGTACACAGCCTCTCCCCGAGTCCCACCATTCTCTTCCTTCGCGGAAGACAGCTGCTCCCCTTGCTCTGTGTCCAGTGGCTCTAAACTCAGTGAGCCCCGCCAGCATTTCTTCTGTGAACTCCTACAGGGGCATCAGTAACAAGCCGTACGTCTCTGTAGGGGCGCCTGTCAGAGGACCCTGCTGGAACTGCCACTCAGAAGACATACAACAGACGACGCCACGGAATAAGAAAGCACACACTTGACTGATCCATCCAAGCGGGTCCCTGCACTACGAAGGCAAGTACTTAAGTGAGCTCCATTTCTTCTGTGGCTAATCCTCTCGAAAATAAAATGAAATTATCCTCTTACCCTCATGCCTGGTAGGCCTGGGTATCCAGAGTGACCTGGTGGGCAGGAATTCGGACACTGCCAGGAGAGACAGAGAAAATAAACTAGAGGCTCCGCTTTGTGATAAGGCAGAATTTTTTAAAGATTTCAGCATTAGAACCCCTATGAAATTAGTCATTAAATAATGCTGAATATTCCTTGTCTTTATTTCATTTTTAAACTCAAAAAATGTTTCCAGAAAAATATAGAAGATACAACAAACAGCCTCCCATGTATTCACTATTAAGATTTAATAAATGGTAATATTTTGCCATATTTTCCTAATGTATTGACTGTGACCCTATACCAGAAAGCCTTTTCCTGAGGTTCATATCCATTCACCACATGCCCCCCAAACTGCATTTAGAATAGTTCAGTACCATCACCAGGCTACTAATCAATCCATAAAATAGCTCCTAAAGTTGGAATACTCTAGTAAACAGCATGCCTTCAGCATAGAGTAAAAAGATTAAGGAAAAACAAACGTATTACTGCAATGAAAGACTGTGATAGTCGGAGCATACACAAGCCACAGCCCACTGGTCCTACTGGTTTCCTGCCCTCTGAGTAAAAAGAAGTAGAAGCACCGCATATTCCAGGCAGATCAGTTTAAAGACAACACATCAGAAGACTACCCGGTCTTTGAATTAAAACTATATTTTTTTTCGAAGAAAAACATCTCACCAGTGGGTCTCCATCATGAAAACCAATTGTTCCCTAAAGTAAATAAAATATTACAGTTAAGAATATAATTAAATAATATTAAATAATAATCAAATCTACTAGTAATGGAATGTTCACGGGGTAAAAATATATTAAGTATATTTGCTTCCTAAAATGTGAGGAACAAATAGCAGCATACAATATGCTAATATTCTAAAACCCTAACTCATGCGCCTACTCATTTTGGAAACCTCTAAACTGCAAAAGATTTTTTTTTTGTTGCTACTGGGGATCAAACTCCGGACCTTGCGCTTACAAGGCAGGCAGCAGAACCACTGAGCTAAATCCCTGGCCCTAAAAGATTACTTTGTTGGGGTGATTAAAAGGAGAGAAAAATGCAAGGCAGAATAGAAAAATATGGAATTGTGACAAGTAAATTAGAAATATGGATTACCTCTTTCTTAAATTCCTATTTTTCCAGTTTGTTACTGTAGAAACTAGTTCATTTGAAAATGTTTCTTTTAAATGCCAAAGTTTTGAGCATTTGAGAAATCGCAAGTGTCAAAGACTTCAAATGTAATGAGTAAGAATTGCTTTGTGAAAACCACCTTTTCAATTACTTTTCTTTAAAAAGAGCAACACTCTGAGTGCATGGGAAAATCAGTAGTAGTAGTAGTGGGGATGTTAAAACAATGACTCAACTCTCAGGCGCTCCAGGTTTGGGTTCTTAAGTTTCTTCAATCCCTACTCTAAGACAAGAGGAGAAATTGAAGCTGTAAATAACTTACGCTGGGTCCTGGGGGGCCGGGAGGGCCAGGTGGTCCTCTTCTCCCAGGGTCACCCTGTCATTGAAAATTGTGACATGTGGTTACCCAGTAACAGTTACAGTACCTAGAGCCAAAAGCTGGTGAAGCACGAGAGAACCTCAGTCCTTGAAACCCCTGCAGAACTCAGCCACGCACAGACAAACCTGCCACTAAAGTCCAGTTTCCCCAAAGACCAGGACAGTAAAGGAGTTCTAGTTTCACCAAGATAGAAAAGAAAGCAAAAGGAGACACGAGGGGAGAGTAAAGCCAGTTCGTCTCTATAGGATGGTCATTTCATCTACTCTGAAAACAAACTGGCACCCTATGTATTTTCTGTTTGACTCACAGAGGGACCTGAAAAAGCCAACGGTGCTAGCACCACTCAGCCGATCAGGGCAAAAGAAAGCTCTTCCCCACCCCACCCCAACGCTTGCTGCTCCTGTCACCAGGTCTGTCACCTGGTCTGTCACTGCACTCTTGAAACAGACAGAAAAGCAAACGTGGCTACATTCAAATAAGCCATTCGGATGAAAATAGATTCCAATTACTCATAACATGCTTGGCATGTTTTTCTTCTTAGTGTTCTAAAATAGAAAAGTCAGGTGCATCTTACAATTATTTTAAATATACAATCATTTCATATCCATTCATCTGTTCAAATTTCACATAAATTTGCAAATAGTGAGCACATGGAAAGAAGTTCAAAATGAGTGAAATACATAACTTCTTCCTCTGCAAGTTTATAATTACCTACCTTCTCATAAAATCAACACTTCAATATTTATGAAATATTCACTGAATATCCACATGAAGCGATTTTATCAGCAGTTTGCTCTATGAAGTTCCCCTCCTTAATGTTTAAAGTTAAATTCTGATTATAAGTTAGCAGTCCATATATACATAGGCTGTTTTTAAATTTCATGTGCAAAGTCTAATACACATACCACTAGACTCCAGTCCTAGCACAGAATCTATAAAATGGGGGTGGCACTTTTTACTTGATGCTCAATCTCAATGTTGAGAAGAAAAGTTTAGCTCAAAATTTTAGATAAAAAAAATTAAAGTCACTAAGCAAAAATGAGGTATATTATCCCTGATCCCCATTAACGCTGTGAACTGGAACAAAATTCGTGTGCCATTTTTGGTTTGCAGGAGGAAGCACAAAATTAGGTTAACTTGCCTTCACTAGTAACACCTTTTCCTAAACCAGTAAATGTCTATCAAAGTATACTGTGGTACTCACAACAGGTCCCACACGGCCAAGCTCTCCAGGGAGTCCTGCTGTCCCGGGAGGACCCTGAAGGCAACAAATCCTAGTGACGATGTGATTTATGGATACTCTGACAATCTATCATAAATGCTATCAAATATGATAAGTAACAGACTTAGAATTATGTACTTGTGTTAGCTTTAGTTTCCAATAAGTTGATAACTCATTTGACCAAACTTTATTTAAAATGGAACCGAAATCCCATAAATTAATAAATATTTTGTTTAGCAAACTAGGTATGTTATCATTAGTAGTAGCCATCTAAGATTATATACATACTATTAACCCCACTAATTAAAGCATCAGTTTAAGAGTAAGGTTAGAATTTGAGAAATAGGTCATTTTTATAGATTATGTAAAAATAAATGATGAAATGATACTTACAGGGGGCCCGGAAATACCACGGCCCTAAAAGGTTAAAATAAAATTGTTATGGCGTGCGGTTTATACTTAGTATAAATACAGACACAGACATAACTCAGTACAAAAATAAACCACAACCTCCAGCACTAAAAGAAATACATGATGCTCAGTCTAAAGAAAGCACCAGCTAACAAAAAAGCAAACACGGCTCTGCTGCTAAAGAAAGAGAAGCTGTGTTGTGTCGGCCCCACAGACGTCCCTGTGGTGTGTGATTTAACTGCTCATATTTCTCTAAACTTTCTTAAAAGAGAATCAAGGAAACCATCTATGCTCGCCCTCGAGAGAATTTAACCACTACTCACAAAAATGTACATCACAACCAGAGTCTACGGGTTTTATTCCTTTGTAGTGTAATCTTAAAAATCTACACTGAAGACATTATAGTTCTGCAGTTTACAATAAGTGATGTTTAGAAGTTCCCAAATAAGCATTCAGTACAAGAGGCAGGGGGTCAGGGGGTCAGAAACACCTCTCTCTTTAACAGGCACTAAATCTTGTAGACATTCAAAACAAAGTGGGCCAGGGATTTAGCTCAGTGGTTCCGTCGCCTGCCTTGCAAGTGCAAGGTGCTGAGTTCGATCCCCAGTACCAAAAAAAAATAAAAAATAAAAAACAGACTGGTGTCCCTCCTGAAGTAACCCACAATGGGATCCTAATTTAATATGCTAAATTGGATTTTAAAGCTAGTCATTCTGTCTCCTTGTCCTTTACACTTTATATGTCTTTATCAACACCAGACTACACATATAAAGTATTGAAACCACTTTTGTCTTCCTATCCCTGATTCCTAGCATAGGGCCTGGCATATAGCAAACTAACAATATGCTTATCAGATTAAAAACTGAACCTTAACAACCTAGAATCTCTATTCTCCTTTTTTGCTTTCTAATTTCAATTTTCCCCCCTTGGAATTTCTCATTCTTTTCTCTCCTTGGTTGGCTTGAATAGCTTTTGTTCACCACTGTCTGTTATATGTATATATACTGCCTTATCAATCTAGACTTACTTTTCTAAAATATCCATATGTAAAGCACCCTATGGAATCAATGCACATCCTCTGATAATGATATTATTTCTAGTTATTTAACCTGCCAAAACAAGGACGAACTTCACATGGGCAGTATGCTTTAATAATAACTGGAGCTTTCCAAAGCATTCTTTGAAAAATTACTATTTGAATATTTTAATACATATATTAATTACAGAAATAGATGTATGCTTAAAAATAGTCAAAAAGTTACTTCATTATCAAAGACCTAGATGTTTATCAAATTTCAGTAACTATAAAAAAGGCATCTAGATAAGATGTTGAGATCTAAGCTGAAAAATATGAAAGACCAGCATACTATTCACTTCTGACAATTGGCTTATAATGGAAAAGTTGATAGATGCAGAAATAAGACAAACAGTGCAAATAAGCAAAAGAAAGGAGAAAATACACAGATTAATAACAAGAGCAAAAAAAGAGAGAGAGGAAAAAAATAGAAAGGAAAAGTAGCCTGAGAACTTGGTCCTCTTATACCCACAAATAACACAAACCTGAGGGATTGTATGATCCAGGGAAAGACTAACCAAGGAATCAGGAGGGTGATAGTATCTCCTTTGTTGATATTTCATTACAGATAAAACTACTGGTGAAGAAAGTGGTGTGATTAATGATTTAAACACTGAATACTCGATCTGCTGTTGTTATACAAGTACTGGTTTCTATCAGTGAAGCAATAGTTGTCTACTAAAAAAAATGCACCTGCAAAAAGTATTTTATACTGTATGATTAAATTCCTCTAAAATGTTTCTTCTCACAGTGAGAATACTTACCATTCTAGGTAAGTCCTTAAATCCTTTTTAATGTACATTATATAGAAAACTGCATAAAAATTTTCACACTTGCAGAATTTCACCTAAAGATAGATTTTCAATTTTGTTACTTTACTGTTACTTACTGGAAATCCACGAGATCCAGGCACACCAGGTTCTCCCTAAAAATAAAAACAGCTTCATTGTATTTAGCTTTTTGTATCATGAATACGTAAACATGCAAACTGCATAAATATTAGAATCACCAAAACACTCCATCCCGGCATTTGAAAACACAACTTTGGCTGAAAAAGTATTTCAGCTGCTTCATATCTTAACCTGTTAGTCGATTTGAAAACACTGCAATAAAATTTACTTTGGTATTTAATTAATACTGGTAATTACTATGTGGCTAACTTACTTTTTGTCCCCTTGGTCCAACGGAGCCAGGGGATCCATCAGGTCCTGTTAATCCCTAACAAAGCAAGATCTTGGTGTTAGAACTATCATGATACCCTTTGCACACCACTGGAAGCATTCCATGTTATTTGTTAATTTTCTGAAGATGGTTACATATGTATAATGCCAGTGTTTGTAACTTCCTATATTTTTATTCAAAGGTAATATTTAACATGAGATTTTATTTTCCATTGATGAATTACATTTTATTCCTAACTTACTGCTTATTGTATCATTTGTCACAGGGCTAAATAATCTAGTGGTTTCTGTCTCTATTTTGAAAAAATACAGTATAACAATTATAGTGCTCTGATAGGTAAGTCTGATTCTCTCATAAAAGAGGTTATGAACCTCTTTTATTTCATTTATAAACTAAAATACCATGTGTCTAACTACAGGGCAACAGTGTCTTGAAGTTAATAAAATGTTTCCTCAATAGGAATTAAATACAAAAAATTCATTATTGCCTAATTGCCACCTACAGCCTTTTAGCCATCTTCTAGCAATGGCAATTGCTTCTTGAAGACATTAACTTTTAAAATCAAATTATTAGAGAGCATGCATGTATCTATATTATTTTCCTTAGTTTAAAAAATAGCTTAATTAAATACATGTTCACAAATGCCACTTCCTGTGTATCATTTCGCCTAGGATTATAAAATACATTTACAGATATCATATTCAATATTAAAGCAGTTATTAAATATATCTTCTAAATATTATCATTGTCTCTACAAATACTCATTTTTATCAGCATCCTCAATATAAAATAGATATGAAAACATGCTATCACTGTCTGTATAACCTGAATTTCTACATTTGGGGAAAATGTGTGTTTTTGTTTGTTTTTGCTCTTTGACACTTTTAGATGTTGTCATTTGCAATGTAATCTTGAAATTACACCTCCATAAAGATAAATATGAGTGTGTGTGTGTGTGTGTATGCACAAATAAATGTCTTATGAAGATTTTCCATTATTAACATTTTGAAAAAGACTCAAGTAAGATTGAGGGAGCAAGTATTAAAAAATGTGAAAGTCCTACTTTAAAATGGATCACTAATTGATATATAGAGCCAAGCATGATGGCTCACACCTATAATCCCAGAACTCTAGGCAGCTGAGACAGGAGATTTCAAGTTCAAGCCTAGCCAGGGCAACTTAATGGGTTAGCAAGACCCTGTCTCAAAAGAAAAATCATATTTAGTTTGTCATAGTCTGCATAACTATCAATACAGTGCAATCATGTAATCATACAGAAACAAGCTCATGTCTATTGTTTTTATATTTCTCCACATCAATTTCCCTAACTACTCCAAAGTGTGAATCAAATAAATCAACTGGGGGCACACTCCTGTAATGCAGCACTTGGGTGGCAGAGGCAGGATGATCATGGGTTGGAAGTCAGCCTGGGCTCCATAGCAAGACCCCTTCTCAAAAAAAGAGAAACTAGGGGCTGGGGATTTAGCTCAGTGGTTCCACCACCTGCCT